GTCTTGTGTTGGTCAATCTTTTTTTTTTTTTTTTGGCTCCCGTTCAGTGTTCTGAGGGTGGTGGGCTCGTACGTCAACATGGTTTTGCCGAGTCTTGGGAGCAAGTCGATCTGCTGTGTGAATGGCGAACAGAGAGCAGTTTGTCTTCCTTTACCTAAACACTGCGAGATATCGCGTCTCGAATCATGGAATGTCTCAGATTCCGAATGTAGCATTCTCCGGATTCCTGTCAAATTTGCAGATCACATCATCCGTCAGATTGCCGAACAGATCGTGCAGTGCATCAAGCATCCAGAGTGCCCACGGCCCGCCGCATGGCATCCTCGTCTGAGCGCACATCATGGCCATCAAGGTAGCAGAATGTTTTTCATTGTATTAATTGGCAAGCGCACCGCCCTCCTCTTTAGATGCGAAGCCCTTCTTGTCTAGCTCGACAGAGCTCTCATCCGGCACCACAGGGGTCTCCGTCGCGCTCCTTGCAGCTCGAGCAGACTCGCTCGTCGCATCACTGGGACGCACAGCGTCCTCTGCGCCTTCGCCGCCGTCGTTCAAGTTGGCCCACTTGCTCTCGTTGATCTTTGGTTGATTCGCAATGCCCTTGAAATGATAGCCTCGAGCTCTGGGACGTGAACCAGACCCGAGTGGTATTTCCGCCTCATACGTTGCCACGAACTGTTCTGAGAGCTCTTCGAACCGCGTGGGGCCTGCTGCAAAAGCGGCACGAATACCAGCAAAGAACTCGCCGACCACGTGGTGGTTGTGTATCTGCAGCAGCGTCCATGCGAGCATCTCGTTTGCGTTGAGGAGGTGGTGGATGTAGGCCCGGTGGTGCTTCGTGCATGCGTAGCACTGACAGCCAGGGGCAAGCGGTGTCACCGATGTGACGTGTTCGGGCGACCACATGCTGGTGCCCAGGGCCAGTGGGTGTTCGTGGGGACCCTCTGGGGGCGGGAACGTAAAGTCAAGCGCGATGCCCGCGTCAGAGGTGGTGTTGAGGAACGGCACAGCGCAAATATCGACGCCGGCAGCGATCTGCTCGAGGATCTGCTGGGGCGATGTAACGGTATGGAGCGAGAGTCGCGCCAGGGGCACCAGCGGCTTGTAGTGCTCGAGAACCGCTGGTAGTAGCTTGACATCGTAGATCGCCAGGCCTACCAGTGCGTCAATTTCGTCCTCGGACAATTGCTTGAGGTACTGCCACTGAACATGGTGCGGCACTCCCACAATGGGGGCAAACACTGCAGTTCCAGATTCGCGCAGCTTTTCCCTGCGGCTGGGCTTCAGGAACCGGGCCACCCACTCCTCGGTCCGGTCCGCCATGCGCACGAGTTTCTTGGCGGGCGGGCGAACACTTGTGTGAAAGAGTTCGGCGGGCGCAATGGCAATGTCGGGGCTGAGTGCTTCGATGTGCGCGGCATATGTATCGATAGGCAGCGTCGACGCTCCAGTTGACGTCCAGATGGAGAGCGACTGGCTGCCGTTGCCAACTGGCGTCTTCACCGGCGTGCATCGGCGCGGGCCCATGATGGTCACCATATCTCGGGGGAAGCCTGTGAAGGCGTGCAGCGGTCTGGCCAGCGTGGGCGGAGCGCTTAGAATAGGCGGGCTCTTCTTCTCGATGACTAGAGGGGTTGGCATGAGTCTCAATGTCCTGTGCGAAAGCGTCTTGGGGCACTTACAATCCTCGAGTGCCATGTAAGCACCTCCAAAAGTTGCGTGTTTTGAGAGAATATCTGGCGTGACATGAGGCACGGTTCCCCTTGATGAGATGGCGATGAAATGGGGTGTGTCGATGACTTTACGGTTAGGCAAAGCAAGGCTACCTAGCCTCGCCGCCGAGCCCTGTTGCAGCGCTGACTGTAGAACCTTGAAAGCCATCTCGTCTGGTGATGCCTCATTTGAGGACGTTGGACCGTTTATCATAATAACATAGTCCTTTCCTCTGCTGGATGGGTGGGAAAGGGAAGCGAAGAATGACGAGTAGGCAGTGAGCTTGTGGGAATACGAGAAGGAGAGGGAGAGGCTATGATGCCGAGCCTAACGAGGAGAGAGTGCGAGAATCAAAGGAATGTATGCGATCACTCTGGCTGTTCTGAGCTATGGCCAGTACCTACTTACCTACCTACCTAGGTAGGTGAAAGGGAAAGGGCAACTTTGGCGGGAACGTCGATCGCACGAAGACAGCCGCTGCTTGGTCGTGATGACTTCGCTGAATCACTCACTAGCCCACTAAATTTTACCATAGCCATCGTGTCCCCCACGCAAGGCCCCCATTCGACGTTTCTCTCCAGCCACATATGCCCTCACTAGCCACTCCCTACCTGATCTCTCCTAGCTTTATCGATTCCATCATGTGGCTTTGCCGAACAGTAGTCGCTTCACACTGCATGCAGGGACCCGGGGCCAGTGGGCCAATCACTGGAACATCCCCACCAACGTTGCTCTACGGCTTCTTCGGGATGGATGTCCCTAGGCACGCCCTGGTCCAGCTGATGGGTGCTTGATTCAGTGCCGGCAGTCTTGCGACGTGCTCTCATGACCTGGATAAGGTCTCGGTTGTAAATGCTAAATACACAGCAGTTCTCCTGCCCACAACGCCCCTTTCCGCGGTGTTTGTCGAAACGCCAGTTTCAAGACCAAGACCGCCAGTACATGTTCTGCTTTGACAGCGCAACACCACCATCACCCATCATCGATTTAGTAAGCTCGGATCGCGCCCGAGTGGCGGCCCCATCCGTGGCGCTTTCCAAGAAATGCTGACGGATCGGGTGCGGCACAGCCAAACGAAACACTCTAGGAGTCGCGGGGGGCATTGACATGCCCTTCGTCTTCTCCAACACAACAGCAACAGAATGAGCGACGATGGCTTTGCCGAAAACGCTCCCCTCCTAAGCAGCATGGAACGACAAGAAGCCACCGAGAGACCTGCTGCCGAGCGAGGTGATGCCACTGCGTCGGCGGCCGACCATCCCGACGCCCCGATCCCCGATTCCACCACCACCGCCCAACAGCGACGCGAGCTCGAGGTGGAGGACGACTCATCGACTTCCACCCCGAGGTTCTTGCAGGATGATCGAAACGGAAAGAGATGGAAGTGGGTGCCGTACCCCGTATACCGTTTGTGGAAAGCCACAGCGACCTGGGCACAGGGTCCCCAGAACCCGCGCGATTGGAAGATCAAGCCCGTCTTTCCGCGCATCCAGGAGTACCCTCTGCTGCTCGTTGAGAAGTACCTGCCGAAAAGGAAACAACGTCTTGCTGTCGTTTTTTTCTACGTAGCCATCTGGGCTGTCACCTTTGCGCTTGTCAAGCGAGCCGAGACGCTCGCCACCGAGATCGAGGGCTGGGGCACACCTTCGGAGATTGGGTGCGGCGCCACGTACTGGGGCGCCGGAAACCGATGCGGCATCAATGGTGTCGACTGTCGGCCGTTCAATGGCAGTGGTTTTGCCTTCAGGTGTTCGGCGAACTGCCGATCCGTTCATGTCCTCAATCCCCGCGCTGTTGGCGATCAGGAAATCGTCTACCAGCCCTTCGTCATCGGCGGCCCCAACGGCCCCAACGGCACGAACGATGCTTTCTACCGCGGCGATTCATTCATCTGCGAGGCTGCTATCCACGCGGGCGTCATTTCCAATGAGAGAGGAGGGTGTGGTGTTGTGAAGGTGGTCGGCAGACGGCAGGACTACGTCAGCTCGAGCCACCATGGCATCAAGAGCGTTGGCTTTGACTCCTACTTCCCACTATCCTTTGTCTTTGAGCAGGACATTGAGTGCAAGTCTCGCGACATGCGATGGGATTTGCTGGCCGTCTCGGTCGTCTATACGTCTGTCATGTCGCTATTCACCGCCTCCTCGGCTCTCTTTTTCTTCGCCAACTTCGTTGGTATCTTCTGGCACGTCGGCATTGCATCGGACCCCCCAGGACACTCCAGCATAGCTGGTCTCGTCTCGAACATCCTCGGAAAGTTCCTGCCCGCCATGTTCTGTGCCTATGTCATGTACGACAAGATGGGAGGCCGCCGTTTGCTCCGCGGCCTCACCGCGCAGGTCGAGAAGACGGTGCTTTGGCTCGGCGCCTGCTGGGTGGGCGCCTTGACTAATTACACGCTCGACTTCATTCCCATCTCAAGATTGACGGGTCACGACCTGCAGCAGCAACCGGGCGCCAAGGCCGCGCTCGCCATCATCGTCATTGTCTTGTTTGTCATCGTTGTCAAGCAGATCTGGTTCTTTAGGCAGGAAGGTCGGCTGCTGAAGTACCTCAAGCTGTACGCGCTCTTCGTCGGTGGCATCGTCATTTGCCTGCTGCTCCCGGGCCTCAACTTGCGCATCCATCACTACATCTTAGCCCTGCTGCTGTTGCCAGGCACGAGCATGCAGACGCGGCCCAGCCTCTTGTATCAAGGTCTCCTCGTCGGTCTCTTCATCAACGGCATCGCGCGCTGGGGCTTTGACCCTCTGCTGCAGACGGGCGCCTCCCTTCAAGGCGATGCCCAGCATGGCTCGCCCCTGCCCGTCATCAGGGCCCCCGAAATCAACCTTGGCGAAGCCCTGTGGACGGCCAACTTCACCTGGGCGACGCCTCCTGCCCCTCGTTTTGACGGCATTAGCGTACTCGTCAACGATGTGGAGAGGTTCCGGACATATTTTGACGATGGCGAAGGTTCCGAGACGAGTTTCTTGTGGGAACGGAAACCAGAGCTGCGTCACAATGAGTATTTTCGCTTCGCATACATGGAGGGCACGCAGACGTGGGACTACACCAAGGCGGGCAAGTGGAACACTGAGGGCGAGTGGACTGAGATGAAAGCTGGCCCGAGCAAGGTCCGGGCGCGAGAGCTTGAAGGGAGTGAAGTGATTAAGCACAAGCGGTGAGCGGTTTGATGCACATAGATGCATACATGTTCTTGGAGATCTGCGGTGATGGTTCCTTAGGTCGGTGGATGGATTGTTCGCCGACTTAGACACAGATCACGATGGATTTGATGGCTAGATGGATGCATAATTAAATACCCAACCTCGAGTCATTCCCTCATACGAATACAAACGTCAATTACAGGCTCCTTATTCGTCTTCATGGCTATCAAAGTTCGACCCTTTGCATTGCAGCAGCATCTTGCTTGCCTCCACAGGATCGATACTTTCTACCTCTCCAGCAACAAGGCAGCTCGAATGCGCCCACACGCTCTGGGGCTCAACATCCAGATGTCCCAGAACACTCCCAATATTACCACTCCTGACTCCGCCCCCAATGATGATCGTCAACCTTCCTTGCGCTTTCCTGGTCACAACCCTCAAGATCTCGACGTTCTCCGGCGCCCGTCCCGGCCCTCCAGACGTCAAGATGGCATCGAAGCCACAGGCAGCAACACTTTGTATGGCTTGCTTGACCTTGGCCTCCTTTTCATCCAGACTGACTCCCTCCAGTCCAGCAACAAGCTCGTCAAAAGCCCGATGAAATGTGCACACCAAGCCTCCTGCCGCCTCCACCAGCTTTGAATTCCTCTCGCGGTCAGCCTCAACCCCATGCGCCCCTCTTTTTAACACTCCAAACACGAACCCATCCCCTCTCTCCGCTTTCAAGCCTCCATCGGCGCGCAACCTCTTCACGTCGGTGAGCATGGTCTCGAACTCTGCCTCTGAATACACGAAATCCAACCCTTCAGCGGGGGGTCCCCTTGGCCGGATCATGACTCGATTCGGGATCGTCAACGAGGAAGATACAGCGCGCAGGTCATCGAGAGTGGGCGTCAGGCCTCCGGCGGGATACGAGCCTTGTGCATTGAGCTCGATGCGCTGGGCGCCGAGAGACTGAGCGTGAAGAGCTGCCGCCGGAGAGAAGACGGGGATCTCGAGAGATGTGGCTGGCGGCATCGTGATAGTATCGCGGAGCGTGATCAGCACGAGTCTGTAAAGTGTACAAGACTGTCAAACAGTGGAAGAAACAAGTCGTGCGCTGTTTTGTTCTGGGATAACGGACGAACTTGGTGAGAGCTTCATGTAACGTTGTAGAGCTCTTAGTCAGCTGGTGGATCTGCCTACTCCTCAGGGGCTCACGACGTGGCAGAGGATGTTCGCACTCAACGGTCCTTCGGGTCTTCTCGTATGAAGGATCTATGAGTCGTCTGGTGCTGAATGCTGTTCTTGCGCTGCCTATTGTGTTCGGTGTTAAGTATGGTTCAGAGCATCTTTGCAGTCTCTCGTCACGGTTAAGTTCTGAAAAGCAAAATCGATTACTACCTAGGTACCAAAGCCGGCGTCAAACCGGGCAATTCTCCAAAGATGCAATCCCCAATACAGGAGCAACCTGCTGAATGGAAGCCCAGCTCGATTTCCTGATTCTTGGTATCCCTAAAACCGACGATGCTTCGTGTCTCCTGATCTGTCGGAGGCCTTCCCTCAAGCGATGCAACCTGACTGCCACCCATGTTCTCTTCTATCTTGTACTGGGTGCATCATTTCCCCATCTTGATTCACTGAAGCTCAGCGCGTTGTACGGGCAATGCGGATCTACTGCTCCTCTTTTGCGTCATCCTCGAGGTGTCGGCGCCGAATGTCAGCGTTGATTTCAGCGTCAAGGCGCAAGGCCTTCTCAACACGAGCTTGACGAGCCACTTCAACTTCATCGTCACACCGCTTGACTGACTGACGGGTCTCTTGATCGCGGCCGGTGTCCTCCTCCTGGGCATTGCTACCAGAGGCGGAGTGCTGGCCACCACTTTCCTCAGCAGCAAGACCCTCGGTCTGCAAGAGTGCGGCGCGAGCCAGTACGTCAAGATTGCGTGCATACCCAACTTCTGCGGTCGGTTCTTCGGGTTTTACAGAGCCTTGTCCTCTATTACGGTAGGGCTCCAACTGCTGGCTAGCAGAAAAGGCCGGGCCGCTGGAGTTGACCGTAGAGAGCCGGCTGCGGTGCACACTCGCATGTTCGCGCTGTGGGGCAGTGCGAGCATGGCTGATTTGCTCGCTGAGTACTCGATCTCCATGGGTGTTGTACGCATTGATATGGTCGTTTGCGGTGCGATCAGGCCCGGCCAGGGGCAGTTCGCGGTCGGGTGCGAGATCCAGGGCGGGGACATAACCGTAGCTGGAAGTCGTGGCAACGTTATCAAAAAGCCGACGAGCTGTTTGGGCCTCAGGAGTACGCGGATATTCCGCTCGCCGCTCGCGCTGTCGGTAGTGATGAGGGCGAGTGTCCGTGGCCGAGTCATGGTCAGAGTGGTGTTGCGATGTAGGTTCAGATTCGGTTGTGTCTCCTGAGCGCGGAACGCCGCTGCTCTCCGGCTCGGCTTGGTGGACATGGTGTTGTCCTTCTTCAGCCTCATACGCATCTTGCAACAGGATAGTGCTGGCGGTCGAGGGCGAGCGTTCGCGCTCATTGGCAATCTGACGCGGACCTTCCACCCGGCCCACATTCTCGAGCTGGGCGCCGCCCTCCCAAGTGCGACTTCCGAAATGATGGTGGTTTTCAACAGACTGGCCACCTGTCATGGTATAAGGTGGTCCTTCGTAAAAACCGCGGAACTCCTGGTACGCATGCTCGGGGGCACTATTGCCCCGTTGGGCGTGATAGTGGCGTTGATCCGAGCCGGAGGCTTCCTCTCGGGCTCTATGTTCGTAATCGTCTTGCGAATATGCCGGACGTTCGGGTCCGTGGTCGCTTACGGGGACCTGTGAGTACTCAGGGCTTGGTTGCATGGATGGACCTTGCTCATAGAAGTTGTTGCTGTAGTACGGCTGAATATGTTGATTAGTGTAGCGACCAGACATATCATTTTGGAGTCGATAAGGAGCTTCCCCATAGCTGTTACGCCACTGCTCGGGGTATTCTTGGTAATCAGGAGTCTGGGCATAGTAATCCTTCTGGTAGCCACTGAACCCTTGGCCTTGATCCTGGCCACGGTGATAGCCCTGCGAGCGTTCGAATGAAAGCTGGGCATGGTGTTGGTTACCATAATAATGAGGGCGAGAGTGGCGGTTAGCTTCCAGATGATGAGAATACGGCGAGGCGACTGAATCCTCAACAGGTCGACGGCGGTAGTTCTCGTCGACTGAGGGCAAAGGCCGTTGATCCTGCATCGAAACACGAGTGCGCTCCTGTTCCTTGGCGGTAGGCCCCACGTGAGCGTCCCGAACTTTGCGACGGGGCCGCATTGGGTATCGAGGGGCGCTGCTCTTGTCACCATCGCCGGTATCAGAAGGCTCGTGGATGCTGCTCGAGCGATTGCCATCCTCGTTATCCTCATCGACCATGCGGTTGGCCTCATCGGCCATGCGGTTGACACGCTCAAATGCCTTCTTGGCCTCATTCTCCTCGTCTAGAAGGTCCTTTGTCAGTCTGAGGATTAAGAGTAGGGTGTGTTATTACTGACTTTTCATGCGGTTATACTCCCTGACGAAGGCGTGGGCGTTGGGGGAAGGTCGGCCCTGCTCAATGTTGAGGAAGTAGTGCTCGACTAGTAGTGCAAGAAAGAGCCATTGTTAGCCATGATCTCCGGTCATAAATGTTGGGAGATTTTGTGTGAGAATACTTACAAAGGCTGAGGGGGGTGTAGGTTCGGCGGGCACCCTCACCCATATGCGTGAACATCTCATCTGTGAGCTGCGTCCAGCTTCTTTCCTTGTTTGCACGATCCTTGCCGACGCGTCTCTGAGAGAAGGGAATGATCTTCCGCTAAAAGACCTTCTCCTCCGCTAATGACCAGGTCTTGCCACCCATTGTGACCGTTCAGCCTCTGGCGTTGTGGGTTCGCTGATGCTTCGTGTTGACTTTCGTGGGGTTTCGTGGTTTCGTGGTTTTGTTATTTCGTGGTGATGTGGTTTCGTGATTCCGTTTAGTTTCACGATTCCGTGTGGTTTCGTGATTTCGTGTGCCTTCCTGCTTCGTGCACTTTCGTGTTAGCCTGTGCTGCTTTTCGCGCTCTTGCCTGCTTTCGTGCAATTTCGTACTGCCTCTGTGTTTTCGTATGCAAAGGAAATATAACACCCTGAAAGTGTGTACTTTGAAACTTACTACTCATATCAAGACTACCACGTAAAGAACGAAATCTGTTTCATGAAAAAAGTAGCCGGAGGGAAGGACGCAATGCGGTTGCCGATCTTCCGTATGGTATGCTGTACTTGATTCACCGCGATACTTTTGTGAAGGACGAAAAGCCGGGTTGAAGATTTAAGGAGGAGCACCTCCGGATGCCGGCTTTCGTGTTTTACGTTGCCTTTTAAAGGCTGGTTGCTCTTGATGTCGGTTTCGCCAGAAACAACGGAATCTCATGATCATTTATGAAGTGGATGAGGATAAAGCAGATAATTAGGGAGAGGTCGGTGGTCCGGGCGCAGGTGGTCAGCGGTGAATATGAGGCCCTGTCTGTGATAATAAGTCATCCACTCAAGGAGGGAAATTAACATAAATGATACGCAGTCTCGCCGTGAATTAACATGGGTAGCTGAACAGCTTCACTGTATGCGTCACGGGCCTCTTCAACAGCGTACCTACTCTGAGCTGATGGTCAAGAATAATAGCAGGGTATCAAAGCCAAAAGTCGTACATGAATTCGGCCCAACATGATGAACATGGTCAAACCGGAGATGCCATGTCTGCTTATATGAGACAGAAATGGTTAACAGCAGCATCTTGACAAGACCTGCTCCCAAAATGACACAGAGGGGCCGAGAGAATCTCCAAACTCTCTTCCTAATCATACAACGCCAAGAAAGGCATCACTATGCATGACGATACGCAAACATATTGCAGGCAGGTATCTTTCGGTTGAACGTTGTGGTTCCTTGCGCCGGGCTCAGAAGTTGGACAAATGATGCAGACCGTACCTTTTTATTCGAATTGACTCGACGGGTCTTGAGTTTGATAGCCCCTCGCCAGGAGTGAAGCGGCTAGCCTTCTTTCTAGCCGGGAGAACTGTCGAATGGTTCAGTGAAGAACAGCTGCAATGCAATGTGGGCCGACAACTCACCATGCTCTTCTCTTGATTGGGAACGACACCATCCTTGACCCAAAAGCCCCAGCTACCCATCATATTGGCCATCATGATATCAGTACTTAAGCGGTCTCCAACAACAGCAACTTGTGACGGATGAGAGACGCCAGTTTCAGGGTGTTGCCTGAAGTACTCCATGATCTCGGCACCGCAGCCAGGCTTCTTCGATGAGTGAGGCAGCACAGTGAGGCCTGTCCCTGCCTCGAGCTCTGCAGCCATGGCTAGGTTCCCGTCATAACTGGTCGCACCCGCCGTGTTCGACACTATGAGAAGGCGACGGCCGGGGTACGCTGCTTTCAACTCCTCGAAACGGGTCTGAACAGGTTAGCGATTGGATGCAGATTCAATCTGGGAGGATGCTTGCCTCATAAGGTTTGTATACATGGTTGGTTTCGGGAACTGCGAAACAGTCGTCCTTGTCCAAGACGACGGCTCTGATATCGGCTTTCCTGCCTTGTGCCTCAAGGACCTTGTTCAAGGGTATTGGTAGATCATTGAATGTGGAGACGGTTTGATGCGGAAGGCAAAGAGAAGGCCTGGCAATGAGTTTGAAGATATTCAAAGACGCGGAAAGATTGAGATTCATCATGTGATGCCAGGCTTTGATGAGCGACCGCAAGGGTGATGAGAGGTGTATCCGAGGAACTGAAGGCACCCTCGTCGCTTGTCGTCGGCCGTGGTTGACAGCTTTAGAAGCTTGGACCACATTTCTCGGCAGACGCTTCGCGACTCGAAACGCGTCTTCCAATTTAATGGATCAGCACCCTCAAAGCCTGGATAACGTCGAAAACCGCAGGCATCGCCGACGCAGTGCCTGATTCCTGCAAAATGGTGCGACGAAAACCCCTACAAGAAGAGTCAGCTGAATCGCCAAGCCGATCATCAGTCAAACGAGCCCGACCAGACCCGGAGGATGGCAACGACACGCTGGCGGAAACCCCTTCGAAAAGGCAACGAGGCTCTCTTCAGCTCAAAAAGATTGCAGATGTCTATGATGTGCCCGACGACGATCTCCCGAAAGATTCAGCATCTGAGATCGAGCAACCAACACCAACTCCCAAGAGAAAACGAGGGCGGCCTCGAAAGGATGCGACACCGCTGACCAACGGTATCGCGACACCCTCCAAGTTGCGACAATCACAAAACCTCGAAACGCCAACAAAATCCACTGGTACCAATGGCTTTACTCCACGGAAAAAGGCAGCCGTCGACCGTTCTGCCAAGCGAAAGAGTGCCAGGGCACTAATTGAGCGCGTCGTTGGCGACGACATCAGCGAGGAGGAGGATGAAGGCGGGCTTGCCAGGGCTATCTACGAGTCGAGCGAAGACGACGACGAGGACGACACAGAAGCTGCGGCGGCGACAACCCCATCGAAAAAGACTCCAGCACGAAAAGGGCGGCCGCCAAAAATACGATCACCGACCCCTCCACGCGATCTTCCTGCGCACGAGATGTACTTTGAACACAACAAGCCCGGCCGCACCAAAACCTCCAACAACACCCTCGCCTCGATCGACCTTCTCACGCACGACGAGTACTTCTCCATAATCCGAGACCTCAAAGATCATCACGCTGAGGACCTCGTTTTCCTACAATCCCTTCATGAGGGCTCTTTCGGCCAATGGTCTTTCGAGCTCGCCGAGGGCTTCAGCCTGTGCCTCTACGGGCTCGGCTCCAAGCGCCCACTCCTCACACGCTTCGCAGAACACACGTATGCCAAGATTCAGAAGCACGATCGTCACAAGATTGTCATCGTGAACGGCTACGTGCGAACCATCACCCTGCGCGACATTCTCAACACAGTCGCCTCCACCCTCGCCCTCGACCCAACCCACAAACTGCCCGCCCAACCGTCCGCCATGCTCCAGGCCCTGCTCTCGCACCTCACAGAAGCCGGCATGACCCTGACCCTGCTCCTCAACTCCATCGACGCCCCGCCGCTACGCAAGCCCGCCACACAGCAGGCCCTCGCCGCCCTCGCCGCGCACCCCAACATTCGCTTCCTCTGCTCGGCCGACACGCCCGACTTTTCTCTCCTCTGGGACGCCGCCCTCCGCGCCTCGTTCAACTTTCTGTTCCACGACACGACGACGTTTGCCAGACCGGCGGCGGAGCTCGACCCCGTGGACGACGTCCATGACCTCCTCGGCCGTCGCGCCCGCGCCATCAACGGCAAGGAGGGTGTTGTCTTCGTGCTGGCCAGTTTGCCGGAGAACGCGAAGAGCCTCTTCCGTCTGCTGGTGGCCGAGGTGCTCATTGCTGCTGAGGACGGCGATGACGGGGATGACAGTGCGGCCGTGGAGTACCGCATGCTGTATAACAAGGCTGTCGAGGAGTTCATCTGCAGTTCGGAGATGGCGTTCCGAACGCTGCTGAAAGAGTACGATACTCCCTGTCTGCGAGCAAACCACGAGACGCGCTAACTTTGCGAACAGGTTCCACGACCATCAGATGATTACGAGCAGCAAGGACGCCATTGGGACAGAGTTGCTGAGCGTGCCGTTCCGCAAAGATGAATTGGAGGGTATTTTGGAGGAACTCATGACATGATGCTGCCACGTAAAGCATTTTGCACTGTAATGTTTGGGAAGCCGAACGTAGATCTTGCGGCGTCCAGGAGAAAGGGGGAACAAGCATCAAGCATGGCAATAGGTGGTCTGCGGCGTGGGTGCCTATATAGGCTGGCGTTATGGCTTAATACACATTCAGAAGTCAATGTGTAGCGTTGCTTCTGCTCACACTCACCTGGTCATTGTGTAGTAGATATCAAGCTGCCTGCAAGACGTCAGGCATTCCTCTTGTCTTTCTAGTCTTAGAGACCTGGCACCAATGCTGGCTAACAAACATCGTTCGACATGTCGAATAATCAATGCTTCATTACTTCGTTGAAGTGCCTCTACCGCATAAATAAACCCCAGCCGTTGGGTTACTGACCATATTTAGATCAATCTCCCCACTCTCCAAACGCCATTAAATCCCACGAGGCCACACAGCCACTTATTTACACGCCCAAACTTTTTACGCACGTCCACAGCACAATAGGCACAATGACATTGTCGTTGCCCCCCGTGAGCACCGCCTCAGTCAAGCTCGCCATGGTCCCGCACACGCCGGCGTTCCGCGTCGCAACCGCCCAGGTCGTCTGCTGCTTGGCAGCCACAGGCCACCCGCCGACACGCAGCCACGTCGTCGCCGACATGAGTCCTACAAAGACAGCGGCGGCAAAGGCGACGCTGCCCTCGAGGCTCTTGCCACCACCCCAGATCCACTTCTTATGGCCGTAGCGGCGGCCGATGAGCGAGGCGGCGGCATCGCCGAGGCCAACGCAGATGACGCCCGCGACCATGCTGACTTCGCGGGTCGGGACTTCCCAGCCGGCGAGGGGATCGTCTTCGAGCTTTGCGGACGAGCTACGGGGCAGAGTCGCGAGCGCGAGCCAGAGCGGAATAGCGCAGCCAATCAGGAGAAAAATGTGCGAGATCACGACAGGGCCCTTGTTATCGCGTCCGTCGACATAGGGAGTGAGGAAGGATGCGATGGGGCACGAGAGAGGCGGGAGCTGGCTGGCGCGGAGAAGGTCGACGACGAGGAAGATGGCGAGGGCGAAGGATAACGCAAGACCAACAAACACGGGGTCGACGTAGGTTGTTGGCAGAATCATGGCAACCATCATAAAGTGGAAGACTTTGCGCCTCGTGTCGACCTCAAACTTCGGATCCAAGTTGACCACGACGATCAACCCGAATGCGATGACGATGAGCCAGTAGACACCTATGAGGAGCCTTGTGTTTGCCTCTCCAAAGTCAGCGTGGCGTATGTGCTGCACCCATCCGAGGTGACAGGACTCATGAATGTCATCCAGACGCGGAGGGATGAAGATCCAGCGCTCTAAGTCGTTGCTCACGACTTGGAACCTGAACCATGGCAGGTCGCCGAATAGGTAGCCCAGAGCCCAGCCTATCGCCTCATGACCGTTCAGAGCGTAGCGGCCAATGTGGTCCCTTGTTGGAAGTAAGATGATCAATACTATGCCAACATGCACGTACGCTGAGTAGATCCACCTTTTCACCGTGGCCTGCGTCTCTGTGAGTCGGAAGAAAGACCGCACGGTAGTAGAGGATGTTCGTTTCCTCCTGCCGGAGTGGGTATGCGTCATGGACCGCTGAGGACGATTGACGACGGGCATCGTACTGGTCCTGCCGAACGCGAAACCACTTGCCGAAGGGGACGGCACACTCGCCGATGTTGAACGACCTAGACTACCAGTCTGATGCGAGTTGAGGTCGCTAGCTGTGAAGGTACGCACGCGTGATGGCTTCATCAGAGGACCGTTTGCTGTGTCCTCGTCCGAGTCAAACACTTCGGACGCGGATTCTTCGGCTGGTGACCGCAAAAAATCACGTCTAGCACGCTGTGGCAACAGTGCGTTCTTGACCAGGCCAAACCATGACCCGCCGGGGGAGAAGGAGGTACGCCTGAAGCGAAGCCTTGGGACCCTAGCCAAGGCGATGCCCCATCGTATGACTGGCCCACACAATGTCAACACAGTGACGCCACCCACCCATAGTAGTGACTGCAATATGGTGGCCTGCGGTGAATGGGCGAGAAGAAGGACGTTGATCAGCCCGATAGAGAGGAGTTGCAGCTCGGCTGTGAGCAGACTGGTTGTCGTCATGTGATGCAACACCACCAGGAGCGATTGGTGTAATGGGTACAGCAGGACAGCCGTCTCAGGATCAATGGTCGGCCTGTCTGGTCGGAGGGTTGCAACAAGATCTTTCGGTTGTGCGCGTGCAATGGCCAGCGGGATACAGGATAGGGCCCAATGAAAGGTGCTGGTGACTTCGAGAGGCTGGGCCGTTGGGATCAAAAATTTGGGCATGGCGCTGATGCTCAGGATGATGTTGGGGAGCACAACCCCACGATTATCCATTGCCACAAGAATTGAGACCAGCATGGTGATGCAGGGAGGGTACAATATGGACGCTGGGTCGAAAATAGTTGGTATGGAGAACGGAGGCCATGTTGGAGGGTTGCGATTCCGGTACGCCCATGACACAAGGCGCACAGGGTAGAGAAGCATCAGCGATGCCGATAGCGCCACTATTAGGGAAAGTTCTGCATGATATTAGTACACTCGACCTCTTGCATCTTCTGAGGCCACATACCTTGATTCCATTCTCTCAAAATGGGCCTTACGGTATCATTGGTCCAAAGAATGCCGAAAAGAACTCCAGAGATGATGAACTCGAGGGTTCGTCGAATAAGCTCCTTTGTGCGCCGGTAGTTTCGGTCTTCCCAGAAATTGAGCTCCTTTTCCGGTTTCTCTTGGCCCTCCCCAAGCTTCCCATGGCTGCTACGGTCCCCAAAGTACGCTGGCGATAGGAGTGGCGAGGATGTTCCCGATATGAGCTCGTTGCGCCCGCGAAGCCCCTTGTGCGACGGTATTCTAGGCGCGGGTAAGCCCTTCAGAAAGTGTTCGTCATCGGCTTCGGTGCCGCTGTCACTGAGTGGCGTCGACTCCTTTGTGAAGGAAGGGAACGGCGACGACGGCTCGCTGCTGTCGTCGGAGCGGGCGGGGGAGGGTGCCGATGTTGGGCCCGCCGCAGAGGTTGCGGGGAACGCAAAGCGATGCGCAGCATGTGGGAGCTCGGCACTCAGGTGGTGGTAAGGGTGAGGTGTTCGGTTCAGAGATCGGAGCTCATCGATGTCGTTCGCATCGTCGCGCGGGGCGAGTGATTCGGGTTTGAGGCGATCGGGTGGCATAGCTAGAGGTCGGTCTGTCACGGATTCGAGGCCACCATTTGAAGACGCCAACAAGGGGAGCTCCAGGATCGAGACCTCTGTGAAGGTGCACGGCAGGGGATGATGCGCCGGGGAGCGGGTGTCTCACGTCATGATACGATGCCGGGATGACGACGTTGTTCGAGTCGATTTGGAGTCTCGTCGTCCTGAAGGGCTGCGGGACCTAGCAAGTGGAGAGCTCTCGGATGATACTTTATCACATGAAAGAGGATGCCAGTGTCCATCTGTTGAGGATGGTGCAGGATAGACAGGGGGCTTTCGGCCGCGCGGCGCCTCACGAGGGCGCTAAATGCGAATCTGTGGGGAATTGTCGATGATGTAAGCTGAGCCATCGCAGCCGGTTGCAGCTACCTTAATAGTGGAGTGCCAGCCGGCTCGCGATACCTTCGAGAGATTGAATATTCTGGTTGCACATGATCCCCAAGACACCTTCATTTTTGCGTGACTCCAAAAACTGAACATCTCCAGGAACTGCAGACAGTCGTCCGCTTCGAGATTCCTCACAAAGCTCGCCTTTAGCCCAGCATGAGAAATCAGCACGCGTGGAATGCTTGGAGGGCAGGCATCATTGCCACTGCATCTGACTTCTCTGTACAGCATGGTCCGATGGAAAGCCAAGCTGGTCTCATCGAAGTTATTCAGGAGAGATTGCAACGTTATGTGACACTTTGGATGGGCGGTAATAGCGTGACAGAATCATCACCGACCACATTGTACCATTCGATCGTCGGGCGTCTATATGTATTCTCTTATCTTTTCCAAGACCAAAATGTGGTAGATTCTCAAGAAAGGTGGATTAATAGGCCCGCGCGGTTGGCTGGTCCACGAATTCGCACCCAGGGACTGGACTGCAGTGCACTTTCATCTCAGGTGCATCAAGGCAAGGGGCTGTGGTAGCCATCAGCAGGCAGAGATGAAGGGCCAAGGCTGTGATTCATATAAATTAAATCTGTCGACATTTTCACATCCGTTCTAGCCATTTCATGCCGGACTCATCTTATCTCGACGAGCAACACACGGCCAGACGGCCTATCCGGATGTGAAGGAAGAACGAAGAAAGCAAGTGCCACTTAGTGGCGGGGCTTCCGTCGCCCAAACGTAATCGTAGCAGCCAGCCTTGGCCCAGCAAGCAGTGGCCTAGACTGACCTGTCATACTCTTCTGACAAGTGTACGCGGTACTATAGCCCAGAACAACAACGACACGACATGACTGACAGGAGGCACAGGAAACTTAGCTGAAATGAGGGACCAAGTCCACGTATCGTCACTCCCCACACCGAGAGCGAGAGCGGTGGTGGCTGAGCAGGGGAGCGTTGCAATGCTGCTTCAGGAGAGGGCAAAACGCTCCGCCCGGCAGTTGGGCTGAAGCAACCATCCCCCCGACCAGCCTACCTTACCTTAGGTACCTAATTACCAAGGTACCTGTCGAGCTGACCATCATTGAAGCCACATTGCTACTTGCGTCTCACCATGGAGTGTTTCGACCCAGTCGGCAGCTTCTGTTCAGCTGGCGGCACACCTTCAACGGCTTTGGATGGGGCACAACGAATTATCCATCACACCTTCTGGTCGCTTATCGTGAAGCCACCCCCAAACCCAGAGCTCTCCCTCCCCCACCGCTCCGCAGCAGGTTCAGCTGAGTGAGGTAAGTCGAACTTGGGACGACGCCAGCCTCCCCACGCCTCGGGTTCAGGTGGGACGACGAGTTTTGCAGCCGAACCTTGAGTGATGCACAGGCGAGGACGGTGGAGGTCCGCCGCCACCGCAGCACGCGAGCAACGATGACGAGCGAAAAATCAGTCTCGACACACAATACATGTGGTGCACAGTCGATTTTGTCGCTTTTGTTTCTAAAATACAGTCATCAATCTTCTGAACGGGCAAGTTGACTAAGAGATGCCCTCGGCGGACGAGAAAGAGCCACATCTTGCGGCCACCATTGGACAAGGGAGCTTATGAGCAGCTTACTCAGAATGGAATTACGCCGTCCATATCGCCCAGAGCATCTTCGTAATCGTTGAAGAGGCGTGGCCCTGGTACATACATTAGCGCGACCTGCAAGGATTACGAGTATCGGTTGCTGCGTCCCGGCGATGGCCTAGCGTCGTGTCCCAGCCTCCGAGAGAGCCCCAGAGCTTCGTTGTGTCCACAGGGAGCAAACACGGTCGGGAGACGGAGATCGTATGCCTATTCTTATCTCTGTTCGTCGGAATGCATGGCCGAGCGGGAATGAGAAGCTCTGTGTCTCCAGTGGGAAAGGGTGGCGAAGGCGAAAACATCAAGGGTGGGCAGAAGAAGGCACACGAGGTGCCAGCACAACAACAATGTCGACGAACCAGGACGACGAAACCGACCTCCCCAAAACAGCCTCCCAAAGCTCGCCCAAGAAGCTGGGCATGTGGCGTGGAAGGCTTGGAAGTTCACGGCCAATTGCTGTCTAATCGCAACCCTCCACCTGAGGCCCTCAACTGTCTACGCTGCTGCTTGCACAACTCAACTCGGTCGACATCCATGCGAGCTCCAATTGAGGACATGTACATGTACAGCCAGTCAGTCAGCCGATGCACCAGAAACAACGATACGTTGGGCTTAATTGATGCACACATTGTAACAACGCAAGCAAACTTTCCCAGCCCCTCACAACACCAAACGTCATATTATCATCGTGGCTCGTATTGCGCCGGCACTACCGCACGTTTAGCCTCGCCTTCCTCGGCGCGCGGGCGTAGGCGAAGACAGGGTGACGCTACAGAGGAGTCGAAGGAGGGGGTTTCAAAGAAAGGAAGGGAATAAAAAAAAAAAAGAAGAACACCCAACAAAATGGAGCAATACGAGTCGGACAGCTCTCTGAAGAAAGAGGCATGAGCCCCAGTGATGTCACAGGGGACCCTCGTGGTGTCCTACGGCCTGTCAGCTTTGTTCGCCGGATCATCGGCGGCTCAATGAGCACAGCATTCCACTGCGAGGAAATATTGTTGGCGTTGCATCAGACGGTAATCACTTGACGGCGAAGCCCTCGTTGACCAGCTGGGCAACTGGGCTGTCATCCATCCATCCGAGCTTTTAGACCGGGGGCTACGGTCTACGGTCTACGGTCAGGACCAGGGCCAAGGCCAGGGCCAGGAAAGGCTGCTGCCAGGCTAAGGTAGTCACAGTCAGTGCGAATGGCCGCACTTCGCCGCCTTCGCAGCCGTCACAGCCGCAGGTTTGCTGGGCGCACGACAAGACGATATGGGTATTGGGCCGACGAGGGTACGATTGCAGGGATACTGGTCGACCAGAGAGGCGAATCGACCATTAACGCGTGCAGGCAGCCCGAGGCCGCCCCCTGGTCGTAAACACCCCAAGACCAAAACGCGACATCATCCATTGAATTCCTTGCAAACTGGGTCATCGACAGCCAATTCTCCTCCCCCATCTCCCTCCGCCAGCTGCATTCGTCGCCCGCTCGCGTCTCTCTCTCTCTCGCCTCGCCACCACATCCCAGCAAGTGTACCCACCCCCCACCAGCAGAGCCCGATCGCCGCGTCCGCCCATCTTCGTGTTTGTGCTGTCTAAGACAATCGGCGACGCCTCTGAGCTTCCGGCGCCGGCCCAGCACTACCTGGTAGACCCAAGCCTGCCCTGAAAATATCTCTCCGGGACCACTAGCCCCGCGGATACCGTTCGACTGTTACGCTGCCGCTACCAACGCCCCCGACCGAACAAGGCAGCGAAGAGGCCAGAGCTTCCTCGCACACCACAAACCCCTTCGACGGTGCCTCCTAGCTTGCTCCATCCGACCCTCTCTTCCAACCCCCAGCATCGTGCGAGGACATCATCTGTCGTCAACCAACCTGCATATCCTGCCTGCTTGCCCCTCACCACCTCGATCGTCTTGACACCGCCGGAGCCTCTTGGTCGCGTCAGACAACTCTACTCCTCCTCCTCCACCTCCCCCCCACAAACATACGCTCTTTTTTTTTCTTTGGTTTACCTATCATCGACCAAGCCTGCAGAGCCGCTAGAACCGCCCTCGTCATACCCCCAAAACCTACTTCTTGGCTCTTGGGCTGCTTTCGCCCTTCCATTCGCTCCTGATCGACCCGCTGCGTTAGGAAAGGTAGATCCGTCAAGCCTCCTTCGCTCGCCCTCACTCGCTCTTCTCGACAGTAGCAGTCCTCATAAAACTATTCCTCAGCCCACCTTCTTTGGCTCGTCCTCGGTCTCGGCCACCACACTCGCTACAATGGCTTCCGACAAGCTCAATGACACCAATCTGGAGGATGGACTGCTGACTGTCGTTTCCGATGAGAAGAGGACCCTCATGACGAACACACCCACGTCGCCCTCGACACAAACCCCCAGGCCCAACAGGATGGCACGAGCCTGCCGCCTCACGGCTACCTTTGCCGTGTGCCTCTTCATCGGTTATGGTTTGACCTCCGCTGTCGTTCCATCCATGAGGTGTACAGGACACCATGCCCACGGCGCTGCCGCTGGTCCGCCTTCTCTTTCCGAGTCGCAGATGGAGCTGTCTCAACAGGTCGCCAAGGCCGTCAAGGCGGCAGAGCCCGAGTCTCTTCACCGCTTGGTGGAGGCGTACATCCACGCAGAGGTCAAGGAGGGTGAGTCTGTTCAGGAAGACCTCTCGACGGCTGGTGCTCGCCTTGCCCGGCGTCAAGACAACCTGACGTCGGATATCCCTGCGAGTCCGTCGGCGTCGGTTGGCTCTCCTACAGCATCACCTTCCGGTCCTGCCTCCCAGCCCACACCATCAGGCTCGCCAACCGTCTCTGTCCAGCCCTCATCTCCTACCCAGAACCCTGTGCCCTCGACTCCCACGACATCGAACACGCCTAGTGTGCCCAGCACGACTCCGGCGCCCGCTCCTTCGACGCAGCCCCAGACCACGACAACGACTTCTTCGCAGCCGGCACCGTCGTCGTCGTCAGCTGCGGTGCCGACAACCACTCAGCCGGCACCCTCTTCTTCGACCAGCACGACAGTCACCTCAGCAGCAGCTCCTACTTCAGATTCTGGTACGTCTACGTCGGAAGAGCCTCCCCAGACTCCTTCTACATCTTCTACTGCTCCCGTCACCACTTCTACTACTTCCTTGACTTCCATCCGTACGTCTCAATCGTCTCCCAATTCTCCCTCTTCCACATCTACACGTCCTCTTCCTACGACTTCCACCCGTACGTCTGGATCGTCTCCCAGTACTCCTACTACATCCTCTACTACTACCACTACTACCCTCGTGACTTCCAACCGTACGTCTGGATTGTCCATCACCTCTCCTGCCCAGCCCCCATTCCCCCCCACATCCACCTTTCCTTCGTCCCCTTCCATTACCACAGTGTCGTCTGAGGGACCATCTGTGGTCACGCCAACGTCTTCTTCTCGTGTGCCAACGTCCGTGGTAGAATCGTCATCCGCAGTATCCTCCCAGTCTACATCCACCACTAGGAGAACTACTACGACCGCCGACGGTATGTCATGTACCCTCGTTGCACTTTATGCGTCGATCGTTATTTGGCCTCAGATGTTTTTTTTTCCTCCAGAGTGTAGGGAGTCAGCCCTGTGCAGGCCTATTGTAGACTCTGTGATGATGTTTCGGGAGGGCGCGCTTCCACACTATGATCAGGGCAATGCGCTGACATGTGTTCCAGAAACCACAACTCGTGGTGAGACGACCACCAGCACCACTCGTCGCCCCACATCATCGAGCGCAGTGGTGACGACCCGCACCTCGACCGAGGCCGACGGCGACATCACCCTCGTCACCGAGACGTCATACGTCGGTGTTGAGCCGACAGCCCAGGCCACCTCGGACTCCAACTCGGATGACGCCGATCTGCAGAACGCGGCACCTCGCATGAGCACCAGCGCCCTCGCTCTTTTCGGTGCCTTGGCCGCCGGCATGATGCTTCTGTAAATCCAGACAGGAAGCGCAGCTCGTCGAGCTTTTTGATTTCCCGCGATCCCTCACTCGTGTGGCCAGGGCATTCATTGTTCCGAAGGCCCCGCTGTGGAAGGGCCACCAAAACCAACATTCGATGTATCAGCATTCATAATCGTCACGACTATAACGGCAGTTCACTCCTTTTGCATACATCAACCGGCGTAATCAACATAGCACAGATCGTTTTTACATAGAACTGGCACGAGGAGAGTAATCTCGTGTCTCGGGGCCGAACGGTATTTGAATTTGGAAGGGCTGGTATACGGGTTGCCCAGGAAGATAGAAGGTCATGGGAGAGAAGAGGCTTCAAATGAACAATGATAGCCTTTGAAGTTTTGTTTTCCGACGTGACGTGATGATGGTGATGTGAAAACTTGAGACACCCTGGGAGGGGTATCCGATTGCTGTGTATCCTGTCTCAACCCTGTGGCGCTTGAAGTCAGGTGGCTCGCCTCTAAGAATATGTTAGGTTGCGTATTTTAGACCCTTGAGCTTAGTCTGTATAAGCGATATGACAGGCTCCTGGACGCAATCGACTTCACAGCAACTGAGACACAGGACATGCGATTTCACATGGCACGAGCGAAAAACAGGCAGATATGTATCGACATTGCATTCCACCGACGGGTATCCCAATCGCCCCCCTCCCAAATAACGCCAGCCCAAATCAAACAAGCAGAATCGTCCATTGTGTTGAGAGTATCCGCCTAGCCAGGCCCGATCTTGGGCATGTCGTGATGCTCACTCAACTTGGACAGGTACGTGTTCAGCTCCTCGACACGCTCCTTGTGCGTCTTCATTAGTTCTGGCCTTCCAGATTTGCCTGACATTTCGAGTAGCTGCAAGAAAGAAAGGGTCAGCATCGTGGCCAATCTTGATACGGGCGGGTTTTGGAGAAACATACTCTCTTGCGTTTCCTTTCCTCGAACCGCCTCTCTGCTTCCGTCTTGCGACTCCCCGACTCTTCCTCGTGCTCCTCAATATCTTCCGTGTGCTCGTCGTCGTCTTTCTTCCCCTTCTTCTTCTCGTCGGCATTCTCCTCTTCGGTCGCGGGGTTGCGCCGTGCGACAGCTGTGGAGGACTCGCCGCCAGAGAGATTCTTCTCGAGGTCGGTCTTCTCCTTCTTCTTCTTTTTGGGCTTGCCGACCTTGGCGCCCTTCAGCTTGAGGCCGCCACCGCCGACTGAGGCGTAAAGGTCGGATGGCATGGCTGTGATGTGTTGGTTGGTGGGGGCTCAGACAATACTGAGGGCAATCAATGGAGGTCACTTCAGTGCGAGGCTGATGTCGACGACAGGCTGAACCTGTTGATGAAGACGATGACTCAGCAGGACGCAGAATGCAGTGCGGGTGCGGGCGCGAGGCCAATCATGGGTTGATCCGAACTGGAGGGCCGTGCATGGGCGAGACGAGAATGCGGGCGGCACTTGTGGAGAGACAGAGCACCACTCATCCATCACAGCAGGCAAGGAAAGGACCAGGCAAAGCCGGGCAAGCCAGGCTAGGCCAGACCAGTACCGGCTTCTGCATCTGCATCCCAGTCTGGACTTGACCGTCTGGTTGGTCCCCTTTCCCCCCATTCCACTTCCCCATTGACGTTGTTGAGCACCACAAAGAGATTTCCATTATCACCATCACGAACCCACCCCTTTTGCTTGTCCCATTAGTTTTGCTTCAGTTGTATGACTCTTGTATCGAACTCGAGCACCCTTTGGATACGGCCTGCCGACCACGTGCTTTTCGATATCCCGTGCATAGCCGATCTTGCGACATCCAGATCCCCCTCGAACACGAAACGACGTCACGAGCAAACCTCACGAAACAGAACATTGATTGCCTTTGCCCAGGCACGACGACACAACGAACACGACCGCAACTTCATCATCCTATCATCATTGAATCTAGCCTCTTGTCGATTCCTCCATCTCGAAATGCGATAAGCTGGGCGTAACCCCGAAGGACCTGAAGCCGCGCAAGGAACCGGCAAACCACCCGACGACTCCTCCCTTGCCAAGCTCCACGATGCCCTCCCAATATTCCTCTTTCCAAGGCGGCCACGCTCGCGATTCTCTCGAGCTCGCGTCCCTCGCCTCGTCCTCACATGCCGCCGACACCGTCTCAGAAGGAGGCCTTCCTTCCTCTCGCGCCTCCCTGTCGTCGTCTCGAAAGCTCTCCTTTGACAATGAAGATCCCCTCGACGCCTCGAATCCAGCAGCCAGTGGGCGCCATCGGGCGTTCTCCGTCTCCTCCGCCTTCGATTTTGCTCCCAACCTTTTCCCCTTGAGTTCCACAGCTGGTGGCGCCGGATATGCGCCCATAGGCGGCGCCGCCATCTCCTCCACCGCCATGAACTCCAGCGGTGGCATGGGCGGCGGCACTCTCGAGAAGAACAAGACGCTGACATACATGAACGGACTCAGCCTCATCGTCGGCCTCATTATTGGATCCGGCATCTTCAGCAGTCCCAGCCAGGTCAGCGCCAGAGTGGGCTCGCCTGGCGCGGCGCTGGTCGTGTGGGTGATTGCCGGTGTGCTGGCGTGGACGGGCGCGGCGAGCTACGCGGAGCTTGGTGGTGCTATTCCGTTGAACGGAGGGTCGCAGGTATATCTCGCAAAGATTATGGGCGAGATTGCAGGTTTCCTGTTCACATGGTGCGCGGTGCTCGTGCTGAAGCCTGGAAGCGCTGCCATCATCTCCATCATCATGGGAGAGTACCTCGTGCGAGCGGTCATGGGTGCGGATGCGGCCGACATCAACCCTTGGGTTAACAAGTCGGTGGCCTTTGTCGCGGTGCTGGCCGTCACATTCCTCAACTGCGTCTCGACCAAGTTGGGGACCAAGGTGAACGACTGGCTCATGTTTCTCAAGTTCGTCGCGTTGCTGGGCGTGACTGTCATTGGCATTGTCGTGGCCATCACGGGCTTCACCTTCAAGGGCGAGGCGAGCATGGACTGGAAGTCGGGCAACTGGTTTGCGGACACTTCATCGGACCTGTCCATGTGGGCCCTTGCGCTCTATGCTGGTCTGTGGGCGTATGACGGTTGGGACAACGTGAGTTGCCTCCTTTCGTGCCTTTTGTTCGTGATCCGTCTCTAACTCCTTTCACAGACCAACTACGTCGTCGGCGAGTTTCGCAACCCGTCTCGTGACCTGCCTCGTGTCATCCACACGGCGATGCCTCTTGTCATCCTGTCATACGTTCTCGCCAATGTCGCATACTTTCTCGTCCTGCCCATGGCGACTATCAACGCCTCCAACACGATTGCCGTCATGTTCGGCGCCCAAGTGTTCGGCCCCGTCGGCTCGCTGGTTCTTGCCCTCATTGTGTCGGCGTCCTGTTTCGGCGCTCTCAACTCTTCGACATTTACCTCGTCTCGTCTCGTCTACGCCGCCGGAAAGGAAGGGTACATTCCCTCCATCTTTGGCCGTCTCGGCCTGCGATCCGGGCCCGATCACTCGACGACTCAGACGACACACCTCTCGATGCAACGTTCTCGCGGCCGCGCCGCTTCGATTGCGCGCCGTCTCTTTGCGGACCCGGAAGTCGGCCTCTTCTACACCCCCATCCCGGCGCTGATGCTCAATGCCGCGCTGACGACGGCGTACATCCTGGTTGGCGAGTTTGGCACGCTCATCACGTTCTACGGTGTTGCCGGCTACACGTTCTACTTCCTCACAGTCTTGGGCCTCATCATCCTGCGCGTGCGCGAGCCGACGCTGGAGCGGCCCTACCGCACGTGGATCACGACGCCCATCATCTTCTGCTGCGTGTCACTGTTCCTCCTGTCGAGGGCCGTGTTCGCGCAGCCCCTTCAGACGCTGACCGTGATTCTGTTTGTGCTCGCTGGCGTGCCCGTATACTTCTGGCGCATCCGCGGGCGCGACCAGGTCGCCAAGCGCGAGAGAGCCGGAGGCTACGGCGACTTGGGCGGAGGCGAGAGACGGCCCTGGTGGCGGTTCTGGTGAGGTTCGTGAGCATAAGAGAAGGGCGTACTGTTCTTGTTTCCTGTTTTCTACCCCTCCTCCTCCTCCTCCGCTCACGCTTTGGTGTACAAAAAAAGGGGTATCGGTTTTGGACAAACTTTACTGGCGCGGGAAGGCGGGAGGGGAGGGAATATTTCTCCACTGGAGTACGACACGGGCTTGACGACTGCATCATAGAGAGGCGTGACGCTCGCAACGAGCGATGTTTGGGGGGGGAGAGGGGGGCATATGGTGTTCAGAAGACCAGGACTCAATGAAAGTTTCTGTTATAGTTATTTTGTAATCACGACGCAAGCAGCGATGAACGGAAGAAAAGCACAAAAGCACAAAAAGCTTGTGGGTCATGACTTCGTTTGCATTACTCTCTCTCTCTCTCTCTCTCTCACTGTCTCATGATACAAGTGATGCCCTTCCCAAACAGCAAGGAAAAGGAAAAGCGGACGACATGGATGCTGTCGTCCCGTTCTCAACATAGAGGCCAGCACCAGCACCAGGCCTAGACGTTGGTCTGCCTGCTCTCCTTGCGCTCGCCGTAGGCCTTGGTGGCGTAGTCGCCCTTGTAGACGATGAGGTCCTCGGGGCGGTAGTCGTGGCGGCCGCTGAAGTAGCTCTCGAGAATGGCCTTTGTGCCGTCGGCGTAGCGCTTCTGGGCGTCGAGCGAGGTGCCGGACATGTGGGGCACCATGGCGTTGCCGCCGCCAAAGGGGTTCTTGGCGGTGCGCAGGACGTGGTCGCCGGGGGCGGGCTGGGGGAACCAGACGTCGCCGCCGTAGCCGGCGAGGTGGCCGCTCTTGAGGGCGTCGGCGACGTCCTCCTTGACGACGATGGCGCCGCGGGCCGTGTTGATGAGGTAGCTGCCCTTCTTCATCTTGGGCGATGAGGTCCTTGTCGAAGAGGCCGCGCGTCTTCTCGTGCAGCGGGCAGTTGATGGTGACGACGTCGCACTGCGCCAGCAGGTCCTCGAGCTTGTCGACGCGGCGGCAGCCAATCTCCTTCTCCTTCTCGGCCGACAGCGGCTGGTAGTCGTAGTAGAGGAGCTCCTTGCAGTCAAAGGGCTTGAGGCGGCGCAGCACGCGCTCGCCGATGCGGCCGACGGCCACGGTGCCGACGACCTTGCCCTCGAGGTCGTACTCCTGCTTGGCGGCCGCCGCCACGTCCCATTCGCCGCGCTCAATCTGCTCGTGCGCCGGCACAAAGTTGCGGATCAGCAGCAGGATCGTCATGACGACGTGCTCGGCCACCGAGACGACGTTGGAGCCCGTCACCTCGGCCACGGTGATGCCGCCGTTGGTCTTGTTGGCGGCATTGAGGTCGACGTGGTCCGAGCCGATGCCGGCCGTGATGGCAATCTTGAGGTTCTTGGCCTTGGCCAGGCGCTCGGCCGTCAGGTAGCCGGGGTGGAAGGGCGTTGTGATGATGACCTCGGCGTCGACGAGCTCCTTGTCAAAGGTCGAGTTCTCGCCCTCCTTGTCCGAGGTCGTCACGAGCGTGTGGCCCTGGTCCTCGAGCCACTTGCGGATGCCGAGCTCGTTCTCGGTGGTGCCCAGAAGGCCGGGAACCTGGGTACGTCAGCCATGCATCAGGGATGACGGATCGCCGGGATTGATCCAAATAGTGGAGTGCGTGGTGAACATCGAAGGGGGGGGGGGGGGAGAGGGTGGGACACCAGAGGAGAGAGAGAGAGAGAGCTCGCCCATGCACCCCGCACTTGAGGTTCCTCAAGACGCGGGGCCATGAGCTCAGGGTGACGGGGCCGGGGCAGGGGCGTGGCACACGGCTCGCATCAGCGCTAGCAGTAGTCTGCAGCGGCATTGCAGCTAGCTGGAGGAGGACATGCCGACCTATCTCCAGCTGCTCTGATCGGATCGGCTGGTACCCCACACACCACACCACACCACACCACACGCTGCTTTCATCTCTTCGTACCAGTGATCTCATGTGTGGGGTTTGTTTTTTATGTGTGATTGCTTCTGGGTGTCTGAAATGGAGACAGCTTGGGGAGACTCACGTCTTTGGCGTGCTGGCCGCCATCGTAGAGGACGAGCAGAACCTTGACCTTATTGCGGACCGATGTTAGCGTTCGAACCGAAGCAGGCGTTCTTGAGAGCGGCGACGTTGCGAGGCAGGCTGGGCGGAGCTGGGGAGCTCGACCGTGAACCGCCGCAGCGGCGCCTGCAGCTCGTGGGAGGGAGGTTCGCGGGAGGGAGGACAAGGCAGCGGTGTGAAGGCCGCGAGAGGCACGAGGCACAAGGGAGCGAACAAGACGGGGAGACGGTACCATTGTGAAGATGTGTCTGGTGGTGATCTGATGTGGAGGAGAAGTGACGTTGGTGATCTAGCAGTCAAGAGAGCTGGCTAGACAATCCGATAGAGGTTATTCGGTCTCGTAGATGATGGGTGAGATGGATGGAGGGGTGTTGGAGAAGATGTCGAAGAAGAGAGAAGGCAGGTTGTACAGCAAATGAGGGAGCAAGCAGATCTTAAGTATTGAACCTTTCTTTCTTCCGTTCGCCCTCGACCCCCCTCCCCCTCCCCCTCCCTCCCGTCTCCGACGAGGAACACGGCAGCACACAGGACGGCCAATGTCTGACAAGCTTCGCCAATGCTGCACAGCTGACGGCAGAAACGGGACGGACGGGAGCCGAAGAGCAACGGCAAAGCTGTCTGGAGTGAGGGGTTTGGAGCAGTCGATGAGCGCGCTCCCAGAGGTCGTTCGGAATGGAGGGAAGAAGCAATGGAGAAGCTTCGGCATTGGGAGAAGCTTGGAGCTTGGGCCATGGACCGTCTCTGGCGTCTCTGGCGTGTCGAGGTGCCCCTCATCCATGTTTCGTACCATGTACGTCTCGGAAGCTTTGTTGTGGTTCTCACGACAGGCGCCCAGGCACCTCCACCAGTGACGATTGCAGCTAGGGCGACAAAGCGCAAGCCCTGGCCGTAGGGACCCTTGTGGCTGGCGTCTTTCTCTCTCTCTTTGCTTCCCGCTCACCTCCCCACCATCCCGAGATACCGCTGAATGCCGTCGAGGAATGAGAGGAGGGGTGGTGGTGGTTCTGGAGGGGGTCGCACGCGAGATGGAGGAGCATTGACGCATAGGCGGCAGCATGCCACCCCCTCGCCCCTCGGCCAGAGCTTTCGATCGACTTGGGATCTCTACCTACGTAACGCCATGGCTCGGGAGAGGCGTGACACACCAATGAGCAGGTTCAAGGGGCTATGCTCGGTCTGCTTGGTGTGCTGGATGAGGGGTAACAGGCGATGAGGAGAGACGGGTTGCGTTGCTATTCGGTAGGGGCAAAAGCCTGCAGCCCATTGACCATTGACCACTGACCGAATTCAGCGTCACCTGGTTGCATGTCGCCTGGCTGATGGTTCGTGGCTCATGGCTGATGGCTTTTCTGTCTGGCTGATACTTTCTGTCTGGCTGATACTTTCTGTCTGGCTTGAGACACTTGCAGACGTGGTGGAACAAAGCCTCGCGGTGGACGGACTGGAGAGGAAGGAAGGAAGGCGGGGTAATCTCGACGGTGCTATCTCGGACATGTCTCGGGGGTCGATCTCCAGCACCATGCCCCGCCATCACTAAACCCTCCTTGCCTTCAATTACCACCATTACCAACAGTGACAGCACCTCATCCAGTGAAAGCGTCTATTTCCGATGGAGGGGGCCATTGATCTCGTTCGAAAGGGTGGCCGAGACCGAGCATCGGTGTCGTGGAGAGCGCGGCAACGGAACTCGGATCACATCACCCTCTAGCTTTCCGCATCTGCCTTGCTCGATTGCAATCTGAACGTCATGAACGATTCCCGAGCTGAGCAATGAGAGGCGTATTCATGGTCAATTGACTTCGGTCTCTCTTTCTCTGCGCAAGCCAACGAACTTGTGCTGTCGCAACGGCCATTCGCCAAATTCGTTCCTGTCCAGGATCAAGGGAGCAATCAGCATGCCACCCACGGACACAATCACTCGCGATCATCCTGAATGTCCGTCTGCAACAAATGTCGCTCATGCCATCGAACAACAACTGACTTGACGTGACGACTAGGAATCTTCGGTAGCTCGGGTTCGACGTAGAGAAACGCACAGAAGCTGCACCAGGTACTCCTCCTCGGACGAGGCACGCGGGAAAGGACAGACAGAGGACAGACAGAACGACAGACCAACATCGCAGCTGCAACGGGGGAAACAGGAAGCGCAGGTGCGGGAGACAGAGACCAATGCCGTCTCACCAACACTGGAGCCCACCTCGATCCGCAAGCTGCCATCCGAGATACTCGATGACATCTTCAGCTTGGTCTGAGCCCTAGGCCGACATAATCGCGCGACGACGCGCCATTCGATTTGTACAATGACCTGGGCTATCTCATTTGGAAACAACGTCGAGAACCGCCTCACTTTAAAGCAGTTCTGCGCACTCTACAGTGGCCTCGCCTAGACTGCCGCAGAAATTGTGCAACATCAAGACTCGGCACAGCTCCTATATTTGTCAAAGCTCCAACAAACAGTTTGAAACATGACCTGATCCTGGTCAGTTTGCCCGTGTGTTCTTGGCTCCAGTGTCCTGGGAGGGCGTCGAGAACTTGACCTTGGAGCCGGCATCAAGTGATTGCTGGCACATGTCCTCTCCGAATCACCTATCGATCTGTACCAAACTGATGCACAGACGGGACTTGGTCTGCTTTGATTTCTCAATAAGATGCGAATGCTATCCCTTCCGTCCTCGCCAGCTTTTGTGCAGAATCAGAACCGTGGAAAGCACTCAACCTGGCGTGTGCAGATCTCGAGTCGTTCGAATTTGATTTTGAAGGTCCATCTCGACATATCTCGTTCTTCCAAGACCAACACCAACAGCTATCGCACCGTGCTCTCCGGACAGCGTCATAAAGACATTGCGATATTTGGCCTTTGGGCAAGAACCCCAAAGCCCAATACCAACTCTCGTGGCATTCCACAAGTGTTGAACCCTCCATGATGGCCAAGTCTACAACACTTCGGTATGACCTTCGTCTCGGTTGATCAGGACGCTCTTCCGGCCATCACATAACGTCTTGGCAATGGTCAAGCTCAAGACTGGAACCTGGCTGCCAACAGTAGAGGCTCTATAGAAAGTCTCAGCATATGTTGCTGGCGACACCTCCTATAGCTGGCAATCCGTAGTCAGATGAGGATCATACTCGTGAGCGTACAGAATGGAAGGCATCTCACGTCAAGCTCTTGAACGATTATCAGCAGTCAAGTCACAGCGTTCTGAAAACTTTGACACAGAATTCCATCGCATTATGCAGAAGTCTTCGGCACCAGCGGGGCGATTTCGTGTATCTATTAACCTCGCCGCACACTAAGCACATGCGTCCTCGACTTGATTCATACTGTAAAGTTGAATAAAGTAACATCCATGACTTGCTCTTTCTCGCCCAGTTTTTCTCCTTCATTTTCTGGCTGCCACACTGTCAGTGTTCCTTACAGTGAGTGGCCTCTGCTTATTCACCAGTCTCGAAGCGCCGCACAGGCCCAAAGACTTGCCAGCACAGCGTCTCACTTCTTGCAGAGAGCCTCAGGTGTCGCGCATTTGTTGTTGGCGACCTTATTGTTCGTGCCGGTGGTGTCGACTAGCAGGTCCTGGTCGTTCTTCTTCAGCACATTGTTGACGACGACGTTGTTCGAGGCCACGCGGCCGAGGAAGTCAAAGATGGCGATGCCGGAGGAGATGAGCTCCGGTTTGCCGTTGTCGGTGATGCCCGAGATCTTGTTGCCCGAGACCTTGGTGTTGGTCGCGCCGGCGATGGAGATGCCGCCGGCCGACGGGCAGAACGGGTTCGAGTCGCTGATGCGGTTGTCCGTGACGCGGGCGCCGTCGATGCCGGGGTCGACAAAGGCGCCGGCGCAACAGTTGCGCACCGTGTTGTGAGAGACGCGTGCGCCGTTGGTCTGCACGCAGAGGCCGATGCCGTAGTCGGAGATTGTGTTCTTGGTCACCGCCACGTCCGACTTGTCGTCCATGCAGATGCCGATGAAGAGCAGCGACGACGACGACACCTTGTTGCCGGTGATGCGCGTCGCCACCGAGCCGACCGTCAGGATGCCGTAGGCCGTGCCGTCGACGACCGTGTTATGCTTGACCTCGGTGTTTTTGGCGCCAACAATGGCAATGTTGAGGCCTTGGAAGTCGCGGACCTCGAACCCCTCGACCCGCACGTCGCGGACGGCTTTGTCAACGGACGACACCTTGCGGTGCTCCTGGCCGGGAAAGGGGTCGAGCTTGACTTTGGGTCCGATGATGCAGATGCCTGCCGCCGTACCGTCGCCCGCCAGCCCGACGCAGCCGTTGGGCTTCTTGGGTGCCGTGACAGGGGGCCGGAGGATGGCCTTGTCGCCGATCAGGCGGATGCCATCCTTGCTAATGGTGATCTGCTCGCGGTATGTGCCCTTGCCGACGAGAATGGTGTCTCCGGGCTGCGCGCGGTTGATGGCGCGCTGGATGCTCTGGCCCTCCTTGACACGCGTAGGAATGCGGCCGTAGCTGGCTTCGACGCCGGCACAGTGGACCGCCGCGAAGAGGAAGAAGAGATATGAAATGGAAGAGAATTTGGCCATCTTATTGGTTGGTGCCTGTGTCAGTGTCCTCTGTGTATTGTTGGCAGTGAGCGTCTGGCCCAGTACGACTTTCCAAGGGGGGGTTCTCTCTGTATTTCTACTACTTCTCGTTATGAGCTCTCCGCCCACGAGCTGGTCTGAATATCGCAGCCAACATTTCGCTCTATGCATCGCGACCCAAGATCTCGGGACCGACAGCTCTCCCAGAAGAGAAAGAGAGCTAAAGCCAGGCGTGGTGGTTGATTCATGCAAGCCTTCGGAAAGCTTAGCTCCAGGCTGAACTCAGCCGCACTCTCATCTGTGCCTGGCGCTCTCGCTAGCTGGAGCCCTGATTTGACGTCCTTTGTCAATGGCCTCCTCTCATCCTGCCCTTGATTCGAGATTGGCGTTATTTCGACCGCTTCCATCAGGAAAGGGCGGGTTGCCGGCCGGGCTGGATCGACGAGGCCACGAGGGATGCCGTGAGGGATGCTGCACAAACGCGGGGATTGCATCAGCCCCGAATTCAGCTTGTCAAGCGCAACTCTTGTGCCTGAATATCATCTCTTGAAGAAAGAAACTTGTGCCAATAGTTCCGGTTTGGCGCGGTACGTTTGCGCTGTACTGAGGGAGCGTCTGATCGCGGTCGAGTTCTTACATCTGTCGCTTGCCTCTGTAGGGAAGGAAACAGAAAATCAAAATCGAGCGACATAGCCTCAAGATTTGCATGTAGATCTTGGCTATTAGAGGCCTAGAGACATAGCCTCCAGTTCGGGATGCGGCCGGTATTTGAACAATCAATATCAGGTGGGCGCCTCATCGGCCATAGTGTAAACAGTGTACAATCATCGTGCAACTCAAAGACCTCTCTATGTGTGAACTCAGGTCGACGTGAAGTCATGTCCCTATTTCTAGCACATCAGTACTGTTATTTATGCCAAGGTTTGACCCAGCAGCCCTGGCCTTCAGTTTACAGGTCCCATCCAGAGCGACGTGTTGTATGAGTGTTGGGTTCGCCCCACAGGCTACATACAGAGCCTAGCGAGGCTGCATAGCCGTCGTGAGAATTAGGCAGTCATATCACTGTCGTGGGTCACTGTGAAATCTTCAAGTGTTGTGGGCGAGCATTCCGACCCGATCTAATAAAACCTGTTGAACCAATATCGGGGGATTGCCCGGGTTGGTGATCACCGTACGGGATTCACTGATCGACGGGATCAGATAAATAGTATCAATAATCATGACAAGTCCTACAATACTAAACCTACAATTCAGAGCCCTCAGGCACAGCCAAAGTTATGAATAAGGGTTCACGTGAGCATTAACGCCCTCTTCAACAAGTATAAGAATGCGACCTGGCAAGCGACCGGGAAACGAAGGATCTGGAAAGAGTCATATTCGAGCATTCATCCCAAGCTCATATTTGATAAACGACTACTCAGACTCAACTTCTTGGGTGGTATTAGAGAATGACAAGGGACATCGTCGACATCGCTCATAAACCGTTCCATGGAGAAGGATGAGGTATCCGAACACATGGGCGCAAATGATCCGCCTCCGCCTCCTTCTCCCCAATCGACTCCCGGGTCAGAGGCTTCTGCTTCATATAGCTGCCCAGCCGCCAGCAAATCGCTTGGCGCAGTGAGCTGGCCCTCTTTCTGGGGCGATATGAGTGTCAAGTTTTCATCCGTGGTAATGTTCTGGTCTTTGTACGGTCTCCAGGTGTTATGTTCGTCGAAAGCCTCGATAGTCACCTCCCGAGGCAAATCTGAGAGATCAAGCGTCATCAGTGCACTAGAATATTGTCGAGGGAGCACGAACTTACGCTGTATCATCAGGCGAGCGTCCCCTGACGGGACGTCGTCGCGTACATGTCGTCGCGTACGGTTCAGCCTAGCCTTCCCCCATGGCTTGCCGGAGATAACGGGCCTAGCTTCCATGCGCTTTTCTTCCTTCAACCAGTTGAGAACGGCTATCATCATGCCTGCCTCCTCTTTTTTGAGGTTCTTTTGCCGACCCCGTCTGTTGAGTTGTGCGTGGTACTGGGCTGTGCTTTTGGAGTCGCATTAAAGGAACTGCTTGGGGGGTGATATGTGGCTCAGAGCATCGAGCTCACGTTGCGTCAAAATTGTGGTGCATTTTCATGCTGCGGACGAGGTCTGTTTCTTGTATTTTGCTCTGCACCGGAAGTCGTCGTTCATAGTAGAGATGCTGGATGACTTCCTTCTGATCTTGCCACTCGTGCGAGGGATGTGCCGTCCCCTGGATATCTGGACGTTGGCAGGTTTGGAGGAGGTTGCATGGGTCGTCAGGGTCACAGAAGGTCGGCAGATTAAGTGATGAGCTGGATGCTCGTTTTCGAGTTGTTGGCGAAGGTTTTCTAAAGTCTCGCACGCGATGTACGGTGCCACGTTGCCGGCATTGTTTCGAACCGTCTGACTGGTTGCTTTTCGAAATCGTGGCATGCGCGTTGGCAATGGCCCGCCCCCATGCCAGATGGGCGATAGCGAAATGCATCGAGCTACAAGCTTCAAAAGTTTTGTCACTTGACAAAACTCTTGGCAGGCCAGAGATGGTCTCAAAAAGGCAGTTTTGTTTTCCAAGCCTGCACCAGAACTGACATTGACAACAGACACCAACTGTTAAATTATCACTTATCACCGGTGATCGTTCTCAACAGGTGACTTTACTTTACTCCCGTCAAAGCCTCCACAACAATCTTGCCACTATGGCTCACGAGGCCCCAAACAATGAGCCAAGTATACGGCACGACGCAGTCCCATTCCAGAACAGAGATTCTCATGCCCACCTTTCCCAACCTTTCGACACGGCTTGGCCCGACGCCATCGCCACCACTAGGCTGAGCTCCAATTGCCCGACCGTGCCTCACCAATACGCTACTCCGGGCACACCGGAGCTCGACCGGCAGCGTCTGCAGGCGTTCCCCCATTTTGCCGAGCCCTTCAGAAGCCACGGCAGCTGCATTCCGTGCTGGCTGGAGTCGCACGCTACTCCGGACACACCGGAGCTCGACCAGCAGCGTCTGCAGGCGTCCCCGCGTTTTGCTGAGCCTTTCACAAGTTACGGCGGCTGCGTTCCGTGCTGGCTGAAGTCGCGGAGAATGCACAACCCCAACTGCATCCACCGTCGCAGTCAGAGGTGCAACTAGGAAGGCCCGATGAGCCGGCCCTTGTCAAGGCTTGGCTAGAACATTGAAATTTGAGATACCGCATACGGCTATGAGCCTGATGTCCTTGATGCGCACAGTGATGAATCTCGAATATCATGTTAGATATACAGCACCCTTTCGTCTCTGCTACCCAGTAAAGTGAAATAACCTGATGATCTGCTCCCGAAGCTTCGCTATACCGAACTACACTCTTCAGCAGTGCATGACCTATCCGAGTCCTTCTCGTACATGAGCATACCCCAACTCCTTCTCAGCACCGACAGCACACAGCATTCAAGGCAGCCGGCATTCAGAATCACTGGCATTGGCCATAGAGCTCGCTCGTATGGAAAACGTCTTTATCCATATCGGCCACCACCGGCAGAGCTGTCGTCTGCGTCGTCAACCCCTTAAGTGGGTCCGCCGTACCACTCCTTGGTTGAAGACCCACCTCTGCCACCACAGCACTTGCAGTGCACATCACTTGTTGAATGGTGCTCCAGAGTCAAAACATGATTAAAAGTCGCTCGGTGGTCAAGTTCATGGTATCTCATTAAAGATCGGGCCTCTCCCAAGATCCACCAAATTTGCCTAACAACACCATGTATATATGTAGATGCCCAGCCATTGTGTAAACGCCGAGGCTCGAAGGCCCCCCCAATGGCGACTTTTTGTCTGCCCCCAACGCCGATATCATGAACATGCAAATCAGATAAACCAACTCTGAAAGAAACACGCAACTGAAAACAAAAACATCATCCAAGCCGAAAGCCTTGCACACTTAACAGCCAACTCATGCGGCGGCTGCCATCTCGGCCTTGACGTCACCAGCCCCGGCAGCTGCCCAGTTCATGGCATCCTGCATGCCCTCCTCCCCGAAAACGTTGGCCACAAGGCCCTCGTCAGAGTTGTTCACGCCTTCAGGCGGGAACTGCAGCCACTGGTCCATGTCAAGCTCTGTGCCCGCCATGGCGTTCCAGTCAATGTCATCCTGACCCTGAAGGAAATCCAGGTCCAATAGCTCCGGCTCCTCGGACCCTCCGCTCGCGCTCGGGGTGAGTCCACCCAGGGAGGACTCGAGGTCCTTGTCCGTCGATGGCGGAGACGCCGAGAGATCGAGGGCCGCCGCGTTGATGGTCTGCGGAAGCACCATGTTCGTGTTGTTCGTGGCCTGCGCGACCTGGTTCGGCTTGGCAAAGAGGGCTTCAGAAGAGGTCATGTAGGGCGCGTTCTCGGGCGGGGGTGTCTGCGCGCCGAACGACGGGTCGGCCATCTTGAGATTCTGCTGCGTCACGGCGGCAGCCTGAGCACCGGCGCCGGCACCAATATCAATGGCAGCCTTGCTGAGGGCGGCATCGAGGAAACCAGTGGCGTAGTCAGCGGCGGCGTAGATTTCGCGCAGCTTCTCCATGACACGCATGCACTGCTTGAATCCGCGGCTGGCGCGGTCACGAGCCTGAGCAATGGGGTTCTTCATCTCGAGAAGGTGGATGATCATGGCAGGCAGAATAACAGTCACACCGGTGGTCGGGAGGAACTTTTCCAGGCGTAGATGGTGCAGCTCGGAGGCCATGCGCGTGATGTGCATGGCGGCATCACGAACACGCAGGCGGGACATTTCTTGGACCTGGCGCGAGGCAGTCGGTGCCTGGCTCGGAGAGGAGGGGAGGAACTGCGGTCGGTGCAAGGCAGAGATGGTTGTGTAGTAGACCATGTGCAGCAGAGTACGCTGGACGGCAAGAGTCGAGCGACCGTTCTTGACATCGAGCGGCGTCAGGGGCCGATACTGGCAGTTCTGGGGCAGAGCCTCCGCCCAGGCCATGAGCTCGAGGTCCACCGATGTGACGCTCTCGAAGTTGTCGAGCTTCTTGTTGGGGAACAGCATCATGGTGCTGTTGACAGTGTTGTCGGGGCGCATCTTGTCGCGGATGAGGACCGAGTACTGGGCCTTGAGCATGTGACTGATGCAGATGCACAGCTTGGCCTTGGCGACGCACATGGACGCCAGCTCCTGCTGCATGGCGATGTCACGGACAAGGGTGCACTCGGCGGGGACGGCGTGGTTCTCTTCGGCGAGGAGCTCAATCTCGAAATCGCTTTCAGTCAGCATGGGCACGTCGTAGTCCTCATCCTTGATGCGGGTGGGACGGCGCATGCCGAGGGCGACAAGACGATCACGCATGAAGCAGGACCACCAGATGCGCTTCCACAGCTTCTGCTTGCGCAGGGGCATGCTTGTCGTGGCGGGGTTGCGGTGGAGGCCAATGGTGTGGGCGAGGGAGATGGCGACGCCCATCCAGTGCCAAGTATCCTTCTGATCATCGGGCGTCTCGTACCAGTAGGTCATGAGCAGCAGAGCTTGGACGAGGACGAGGCGATCGGACTCGTAATCGAAGTCGTAGAGAAGCTAGCAAGGAGAGAAAAAAAAAGCATGTGAATATGGGGGTTCAACCACGGAGCAGGGGTGTCAAGGGTGGGGCGGGGGGGAGGGAGTGCGGGAGGCGCGGACATACCCTGGTCTTGGAGAAGAACGATCGCCTAGCGGCCTTCCTAGTGGAATAGCCTGCCTCTTTCAGAGCCTTCATGTCGACGAACGCCGTAGCCGCAAACATGATGGCCTGGTAGAGGAACAGGCTGACCTGGCCGCACAGGCCATCACGAGCATTGACAGCGCCCAGGAACTCGCGCAGGTCGAGCAGGGGCATGTAGGGGTGAACGTATTCGACGTACGCCTGGAGGAGGGCGGTCTGGAGAGGCAGCGGCGGCAGGGAGAGCGCACCCTTGGTGTGGAGGTACTTGACATCCTCTGAGGCGATGCGGGCGGGCAGTGGTTTGACAAAGGCTGGCAGCTGCGCCTGGAGATCTGGCTCCTCGAGCGAGGCAAGGAACTGACTGGTTCGCAGGTCGCCAAAGGAAGTCTGTGATGAGAATGATGATGACGATGCTGCGGCGGCCGATGATGATGTGACGGCCTGGGCGCGGGTCAGGAGGTTGGCCAGCAGACGACGGGCGTTTGTGTCTTGTGCCGCTGCGGCCTGCAGCTTGCTGAGGAGGTGGGCATTGGCATTGGCCGTAGCTGTAGCATTGGCATCCTGGCGGAGCGCAGATTGTTGATCTAATTCGACCACAGGGGTCTCGTGGTCAGCTGCAGCCTCTTTGACAAGTTCGCGTCTGACAGATTGGCTAGTGTAACATGATGAAAAAAGAAGAACGAGGGGCATGACGGGGATAGAGGCGAGGGGGATGGCATGTGAAAGTGGGGAGGGGTCGAAAGAGAGAGGGAGGGAGAGGAGGAGCATCCCCAAATCGAGCACTCCCCCGACTTGTCACCCCCAAACCCGGAGCCTCCAAGCCCAGAACCCCAATTTCCCCGCCAAAAGCAGACGGCACGTGCTTGTCGGAGCTGTGGCTAGCGGGCATGAGGCTGAGTGAGGCTAGAGCCCGACGGTCCCAGTCCACATTCCACCAGTCTCCTTTCTCCTTGCAAGGGGGTACTAAGGGCCCAAAGCCCCAGAGCCCCAGAGCCCCAGCGCGCCAGTCAAGGAGTGGTCCCGTCAGGCCATCCTTCGATTGGGGAAGCCGCACGCTCTAGAAGCCCCAGCGCCGGCACAGGGTGCAGCCAAAGGGGGAAACAGCCCGATCGGAGTTTCTCCATAGCCCAAAATGCGCCGAAATGACCATGATGCAAATCATGATGTAAAAGGGGGCAAAACATGGGCAAAACTGCCCTACCCTAAAAAAAAAAGAGTACTCACAAATCATGTGCGGAACGTGCCCGTCAGGAGACACAGTGGTCCCCTCGGCACCGCCGGAAATTCCGTTTAGCGGGCCGCCCTCCACACCGGCCCCAGTCTGGCCTGAAGCTGGCGCGCCCATCGAACCGATCGAGGCGGCCGATGCAATGCTGGCGTGTCGCAGTTCGGCGTTGCTCTGAATGTTCACGTTGGCCGTCGCAGGGGCGAGGCTGGGGTGCTGGTGCAGTGCATGGTGATGCGGGTGCTGCTGATGTAATTGGTGGTGCTGTCCTTCGCTCCCCTTCGCCCGCAGCTGAGCCTCGGCTACTGCAACCGCCGTGCTCGCAGTGAGCAGTGCTTTTCTGTAAGGGACGTCAGCAAATTGCTCCCCCTTTCGTCCATGGATGCGCGAGAAACAAAAAGTGAAATGAAAATGTCCAAATCTAGGTGACTTGGAGCGCGCCCATTGCAGCAGTTGTTTCCCCCTTCTCGCTCCGTTGCTACCAGCATCGGAATAAGCGATGCATGTCATGCAAGCCATGCCCGAGTTGGCATGGATCGCGAGAAGCCCTTGGCAAGCCACCTTGGAAGAACAGCTCTCGAGTCTGAACGCCTCGGCATGCTTGATGAGGGGTAGTCCAAACAGCGTATTGAACGCCGTCGTAGTCATGGCCACTGACTGTGTCGATGCTGGTGATGCTGCGAAGAATCGAAAGACGAAAAAAAAAGAAGGAAGAAGAAGGAGAAATTAGAATGCACTCACTTGCGACGCCGGCTCTCTTGCACAACGCACTCGACATTGTCCCAACGACAGTTTCCGCAAGGCGCTCCCTCGACAACGTCGCATCGCACCTTGCGCGCGCGGCAGCTCACGCAGGCCCTCGCCGCCCTTCGCTTTGTCACCTTTGCTGGCGGCGCGTTGGGGTCTTCGGCTGCGGACGACGTCGAGGGGCGCTTCTTGCCGTTCTGACTGGGGGTGGGGCTGCCGCGATCTTCAGCAGCCGGTGATGGCGAGGAAGCGTCGTGCTTGTCCTCAGAGGTGTCCATGCCGCTCATGTCATGGTTGTCACTGGAAGCCATGTGGGTGGTAGTGGTGGTGTTTGCGTTTTCGGCGGCCATGCTGTCGGCGACAGCCTGCAGAGCAGAAGCCTCCGGGGCCGAGTCAAAGTCGAGATCCATGTCGAGGCCGAGGTCGAGGTCGGGACTGGGTGTTGAGTCTTCGGCGGAACTCATTGTGAATGTGCGAGTAGGTGTTGGTTGATGCGCAACCAGAGGGATGCGCGTTCGGCGAAATTTAATCGTTCGCCGAGAAAAGTGACAAGGTCAATGCTTCGCGTGAAGCTTGGTTTGTCAGGTGCAGCTGTCCTGGTCGAAAAGACCGAAGAGGAAGGGAGATTGGTGTTGGGAGGCTACTTCAATGTGAGTGTTGTCGTGAGTGTTGTTCTTTCAGGGTGACGCAAACGGGTGGGTAGCCGTGTTGGTATCCTTGTGTCAGCATTGGATGGTCTTGGTGTTCTCCTGGGCAGATGAGGCGGCGTGAGGATGAGGAATGCGCCGGTCAGGGAATGACAGAGGGAGGGAGAGGAGAGAGAGAGAGAGAGAGAGAGTCTTCAGTAGGGATGCTCAAGAATCTTGAATTCCAAACCATGAATCAAGTTCACGAGCTCCAGGTGCAAGGACGAGGCAAAGACGAGGAAGAGGAGAGCTAGGTGGAAGGGTGTGGGAATGTGGGGTGGCCGACTCCGGGGTTATATTCTTTCTCGTCTCAAGTTCCCACGATTGACGAGGGGAGACTCACACCCACACGAGCCTTTGAACAGTCTTTACTAGACCTGCTCGAAAGTATGGGCCCCCCGGAGGAAACCCAAGACGCGAAGCGTGACGCTATCTTTTTAGGACATGGGGACGCTGGGCCTGGGGCGACATGGGATGTAAATGGGCGCCTTTGGGGTTTGGGTCGAGGGTCTTGGGTCGTGGGTCTTGGGTCGTGGGTCTTGGGTCGAGGGTCGTGGCTCCATCGGTCTTGGGGGGTGGATGGATGGAGAAAGGGCAAGAGTGACAGGGATTTCCTGCGATGCAGCAGGTGCATCCACCGACGTCGCTGCCACGCTCTTCAGCAGGTTACTACTGTACATTACATGGAACTGACTTGCTCAGCCTTGGTTGGTGCTGTTTCCAGGTTGCTTGGCTCTTGGCTCTTGGCCTTTGGCCCCTGACCCTTGAAGGTGCCTGCCCCCTTTGGCCCGCTCTGTGGCACTTGCCGCCTGACTTCTTCTGATGGCTGAAGACGTGCTTTTGTTTGGTCGTTGACGTTCTGGATGTCTCGAGTTGTGGGGTCAGACGCTGGTCACCTGAAAGTCCCTGTGACGGTCTGACGTTGGCCTTTCACATGTCTGACAACATGACCCTCCAGTCCTTGTCTCCCATTTCCACACATTTCTGGCATCCTGATCATATGGAGAAGAGAAAAAATCCAAAACGCTGATCGCCACATCAGCACTGTCCTGCACAATGCAATGTCCGTTCGGTGGGGGGGTCTGGTTTGGTTTGTGGGGGGACGGCGCCAGGCCAAGTCACTTCGAGAGAAAGCACCTCCTCAGAGCTCCTCAAGCCATTCAACCCTCCGCATTCGTCCTGCACTATCCGCACTACCTCTCAGCCTTTCGCACACACCCGGCCCAGCCTGGGGAGACGACGCGGATGACTCGAAAGAAAAGTGGCTGACACATTGCAGACGGCCAGTACCTAATCGTGACCTCACGACAACAGGCACTATAGGTCTCTTCCAACTGGGGTTTACCTAAAGTGCATTGCCATTTCGAAGAATTTCGAAGAGAATCTCGTTACCCCCTACTCCCGAAATCTTCTGCCGCACCAAGGATACCTCTCGGCACCTCTCACCGAGCGACCACCCTCTCCTTCACCGCACCTGGCAGCTCCAGTCCTGGCAATGGAAAGCGGCAAAACAACGCAAAGCCACGCAGCAAACAGGCTGCGACTGCCAGCGCGCCAGCCCCGATTCAGGAAGGCTGGCACTGTCGCTTTTCCCAAGTTTGTGTGGAGCAGCCAATCACCGCCCACAAGCCCCCGGTCCGCATCACGAGTCAAGGGCTTTGTCAAGGGGTGTGTGTGTGTTGCTGGCTTGCCGCGTCGAGTTTTTGGTCGGCCACTTCTACGAAAAAAACACACCGCGATCACGAGGGCTCCCAAGGAATTTTCTGGCACTACTCAAGTGGTGAACGGGTTCTTTTCTAGCTGGACCCCTTGATGCTCCACGCCCTGGCGCCCTCGCGCCAGCGGTCGTCGTCAAGCCAGACCAGACCTCGAAAACCATCACGGTGTGTCATCGACTTGAAGGGCCAATTAAGCGATCGAAACATGCTCCCATTCGTCCATTCACCTTTGCTCTTCTGACAGATCAGACTCGATGCTACAGTGTGACGACAAGACAAGAATCTTGGGTCAGATCATGACAAGGCCTCTGCACAGAGACTGGCGATTCATTGGCCTTCCCACGGAAGTCATCCACGGGATCCGCTCTCTGCCCTCCCACGGTCCCACGGGATTCGAGTCCCCCCCCCGGTTTCCCCTCCAAAATCTCGATCGCGTTTGCAAAATGCGGACTGCCCCTCCTGGCCCAGTTCATCCTCCAACAAGAAGACACACACGCACACAGCTCCTCTGCCCCTCGAGGTCCCGCAGGCCCGCCCCTTGGTCCGAAAGAGGCAGCCCCTAACCCCGACGCCCAATCACGCCCCCCGTCCCTCCCCATCGGCGAGAGTCGGGAGGAGCCCGCCCAGGCTTCTCACATTGCGACTTTCTCTGGGCCTGCGAGTGGAGACGCCGCGATGCCCTCATTACAATTTCGAGCTCGCTGGCTGGCTGCTTTGGATGGCGCTCGCTGTGCTGCTCGTCTCTCTCGCCGGGCTGATATCGTGGGGTGGTATTCCCAGCGTATATCCACACTTTCTCCCCCGCCAGCGACGTGCTTTGTAAGTACCATGCGGTGTGTCAGGGTGTGATTGTCACGGCAGGCGCCATCATCATCATTGACCCTGGTTGGCTTTTCGTTTGGAGCAGAACCTCGCCAGAGAGGCGATAAGATTGGGCTTCTTCCCTCAAAGCTTGAGGCTGGCCATCGTGGTGGTGGCTCAGGCCGAGTCATCGCCCGGAGAAAGACTATTACGGGGAGGAGAGATGGAAATGGACTTCCGTCCGTCGCATCGGAGTTTCGTTCACACGACACAAACACACTCTCTCTCTGTGTGCTGACCTCAGCTCCAGGCTCGTCCTACGTACCACAAACAACCATCAAAGCTCTCCGGGGTGCTTGAGCAGGGGGGGAGACGAAAGAAAACACGGCGTCCTCCTTACGTGCTCATGGCGTGCCTGACATGCTGCAGAAGATGCGAACTGGTTGCACGGAAATTGAAAACGGGACAGCAACATGACCAAAGAGACGAGACCTGTCAAACACAAACACACCCACAGCAGAACACAGAACACGCAGCAACACACATGCTCCCTAGAGCCACACCCTCCGTGTTCCATGCTGCGCCCTGTCCTCCCTTGCCCCGGTCGGCGACTCGATCCCGGCTCCTCTTGGTATGACGAACGCCAAACCAGTCTGAACCATGCGTCGCGGGGAGATATCGACCACTTGAGCCTCACGAGTCCAGACTTGTTCGCCGTATCAGGTCATGTGCTCGTCCAAACCCCTTACTAGAACGGGCTCACCGTACCATTGACAGTAGGGTGCTTGTAACCCATTGCCACCTGTCACTTGCGACTGCCGCTTGTTGTTCCTTTGGTTCATTCCCCTCATGTTCCAACGAGGGCAGTTCTCCGGCCCTTTTTCCCCAGATCACCCATCAAAAAAACGCTCCCCCAGCTTTTCTTGGCAACGTCGACAGACCACGATTCCCCTCCCAAATCCCCAATTCCTCCGAACGTTGTATCTGTCCACCGATATGAACTAGACAAGAACACGTGTAAGTGTCCTCATCTTTCGGTCAAGCACCATAGTATTTCAGCCCGTCCCGCAGCCCAGCCAATAAGTTCTGAGGTGCATCTCAAGTAAAGAACCACAAGTTTGAAAGCCTGCGATGTATGCCTATGCAAACACCCTGCACCACGGTCACCGTACTGGACACCCTCAATCAAATACTAGACGCCCCCCCCCCCCCCCCCCCGGGCCCAAAATCTGTGTTCCGCTCAGGGAATCCAAGCTCGGGGAGCCCTCCGCTCCCTGGGTACAAAATAATACGCCCCTTTCGGACTTAATTTTTTTTATTTTTATTTTTTTTACCGAGACGCCCCCTCGGCGACGAGACGTGCACTCGGACATGCATTCCGAAGTACATAGTAAGGCAAAGGTGCAATGGGCCAGGTGGAAGCTTGCGTCCCGCTACCGAGTCTCGACCTTGACCCACCCTTGACCCTGACCGACCCATCCTCCACCAGCCTGGGCAGAACGAACCGCTAATCCACAACCCCCAGCGCAGCAGTTGCTGGTCGTGAGCAGCCGTGCGGCGCGCGTCTAATCAATCAATACTCCTTTCCTACATTTAGCGTCCGACGAACAAACGCACCCGCGCCCACTTTCCGCCTTCCTCCTCCTTCTCACCCCGCCAGAGTCTAGAGCCCCCAGGCGTAAAGAAAGACCCAATCAGTAACCCGCCTGCCTTGCCTTGCCTTGGCCCGCCCCTGCCTTTCATCGCCTCGGCATCCACCGTCCTCGTCTCGTCTGCCCCGCCCTCCTTCAATTGTAAGTACATGTATCAAGCACATGTATACATGTACGATTTCCTCCCCCGCCAAAGCAGTCGCACCTCGGCCTGCGACCCCTGGACGCCGATCCAGCTCTCCCGTTCTCCACGGGGTTCTCCAGGCCTTGGCGAGGCCGTGTGGCACGCACCCCGCTAGCTCGGTGGATGAGAGGGGAGGAAAAGGGCGCGGAACAGACAAGACGCAACACAAGGCCAAACAAACAAGCAGAGCGCATAGAAAGAACATGTCGGGACGCGACGGCTCGATAGTGCAATGCACACGCCCCCTCTAAATTTTTTTATCGTCGGAAACTTTGCGTCTTTGCCCCATTTTCGCGGGCAAGGGGGGTGGGAACGAGCCGGGATGTCACGATGCCGGCAGGATTGAGTATTTTCCTATTCCAACAATAGTGGTGGTTTCTTGTCCCTTTGTGAAGGTGCTTGACCTATGACAGACTTTCTGCCCCTGGTTGATGACTACACTGCACTGCCCTCGCTACCTTTCCGAATGGAACATGACCAAATGGTGAGAGTTTCCCACCGCCCCCGTTTGTTAACCATACAGTAAATTTTACATGACCGATCCAACACGTCGGATCATCTCGGCCAAGTCACGGAGAGGGCCTCCGCTACTTGCTTTCCTCCCCCGCGCCCAACGCCTTCTCGCCGGCCTTGCTCCAGCGTGCCTTGGGAGCGTCTTCGATGCTGTGATACCACTTTTTTATGAGCACGGCAAAGTCCTTGTCGCCCGCCGAGAGCTCCATGGGTGGACCCATGATCTGCGGGGGCCGCTCGTCGTCCGGCCCGCCCTCAAAGACGGCCCAGCTCGACGCGTCTGTAGATCGGAGGCCGAGTTTCCCCTGAATGTTGGTCACGTTAAACTGCCGAAGGAGCACGGCGTCGCCTTGACGCACAAGGGGCAGTGCCGACTTTTGGACCCGGAAAATATGCACTAGCACGGGCTGCGTCGGCACGATGGAGTGGTCTGCCACGCTGAAGGCCAGCATCATGCCTTTCGGCCCACCTTTGGCACGCTTAGCGCCGGGTGGCTCCGCTGTCGCAATCGCCAAAATGTCGACCGTCTTGCCCGGGGGCTGCTGGCGAAACACCTTGAGCGAGATGCAGTCCGGCACATCTGATCGCAGCGAGCGGTTGAGCTTGAGCTTGATGGCTGCCGGAGAATGATCTTCGGCTCTCTCCTTGGCGGCACGGGACGGCGAGTTGAGCGCAGCTTTCGCCAGCTGCACGCTTGAGTCCTCCTCCGCCTCGGGCGTCGCCTCCTTCTGCAGGTTGTGGCACGCCGCTCGAGTGACCCGAACTGTGTCGGGCGTTGACTGCCAGTCGGATAGCCTCATTGATCGCCTACTCGCAATGGAACCTCGAGCGAGCCTAACACTCGGGTCATCACCCTGGTCAGCCTTTTGCTTGTTCGTTGCCGATGCTCGCGCCAGCTTGATACTGGGATCGCCCTCTTCGACTTCATCGGCCTTTGTCTTGCTTTGGCTCCGCTGTCGTTGCGAGCGTGTCTTTGTGGCCGGCGTGTCTTCGACGTTATTCTCTTGGCCGGAAGGACTAGATACTGCGGTCGGTTGAGGTGACGCTGCCTTGGGCTCCAGTGATTGAGGCCTCGATTGTGATCTTGTCTCTGGACGATGGCCAACAGTTTTGACAGGCGTTTGTTCCTGGTCCACCTCAAGGTGAGCTTCTTCGTCTGGCGCTGTAGCTGTTGGCCCATGTTCCATGTCTGGCGGTAAATGGCCCGTTTGTGATCTGGTCTCGGGCCGATGCCCAGTTGTCGCTGGCGAACTTGCCTTGGCGCTCTGTGTCAAGTCTTCGGTTGACAGATGAGGCGTCTCAGGGCCCTTCTGCTCCTGTTCATGAGCAGTCTCATCATCTGCTCCAGGCTTTGTCACAACCACAGATGGCATGACTGGTGTTGATGGCACCTCGGCTATCTCTTCAGATTCTCCTTCCTTTTCGACTTCTTGCTGCTGAGTGTCATGAGGCGTAAGGAGTTGAGCATTTGCATCCTCCATGGCGGTATCCAGTCCATTCCCTTCATACGTATGGGAGACCTTGGGCGACTCGGCGTCTCCAGACAACCTGTCCTCCATAACAACATCCTCCTTCTCATCATCCTCTGGAGCTGTTTCCGCCGCGTCAGGCTGCGAAGGTTCTGGATTTGTTGCATCGGCTAAGCGCACGTGTCCATCTACAGAATCCGAGGACTCCTCTTCGGATTCAGCTTCGGCACTACCTCTTGCGTCTAGAGGCATGTCTTGTTGAGGAGGTTCACTAGTCATGCTAGAGCTGGTCTTTGGCGGCAACAAACGCTGCTCACCATGTTCAGGCGGTTGCGAAGATTTGCGGTCAACGCCCGATGTATGGGGAACAGCATCCGTGCGCGGACTGGAGCCAAGTGCGTCAACTTGTGGGGAAAGAGCCGGAACTGTTTCTGAATATTCAAGGTCTTGAGGGGCATCAGGTGGACCCGGTATCGCGCTGGTAGGGGAAATTGGGCGCACTTCGGCAACCGCATCGTCTGGTCCCGGTTCCAGCTGTGCCTCTTCTCTCCTCGTGGTGTCTCTCATGGGAGAGGATGGAGCAAAGTTCATAGGGGAAGAAACTTGGCCCACCATTTCCGTGTCATTATCCTGGGCAGCCGTCGGTGCCGTAGTGGTGATGGCTTCGTCCGGAGTGGTATCCAACATGTCCTCGTCGGGTTTCGGATCCTCGCCCTGCCCAAGCTCCTCTACAAGTGTAGTCTTCTCAATGATCAGGATCTCCGATGACCTGACCTCCAATGGTTGGGATACATCTTCTTGGGCAGTCTGTTGGACGGTCTGTTGCATCTCCTTTTCCAGCTCTGCATCAAGCTGGTCGGTATCTGCCTCGTCTATATCAAGGGCGACGTTCTCATTTTCAGGTATCAGGCTTGATACCTGAAGTGGCTTGATCGGGCTCATTGACTCCAAGTCATCTTCTAAGAAAGGCGATGAAGCCGCTGGTTCGTCGGTCGGTTGCCGCACATCTTCGGGCACTTCCACAAGCAACGGGCTGCTCAGGTCCTCTTTGTCCTCAGCTTCGCTCTCTACCTCCGATTCGTCGTGTTCTGATGCAGCCTCGCTGCCAGGATCAGAAGTGCCGTCTTCGGAAGAGTCACGGCGATCAACCACTTCCTCGCCAGACGGACTATCCATTTCATCCGCGGAACCGTCATATTGCGGTACAGGCGGAAAATCGGATTTGACTGCTGCTGGCTGGACTGGAGAGCTGTCATCATCGTCAGAGTCCGACAAAAGATCAATCACTTCTGGTGGACCATTTGGTTTGGCGGGCGCTGGAACTGTAGGGGATTCCGCTTCAGAGAAGTCTTCGAGTGCCCCATCGTCATCGTCCCCTTCGAGTCCCTCCTCATCATCTTCATCAAGCTGCTCCTCTTCGAACTCTGAGTCGCGAGGATTGTAGATCTCTTCCTCTTCTTCCTGTCCAAAGTCAGACTCCAAGTCTGAACCCTCATCGTCGTCCTGTACATTGCTTTGGTTTCGATACTGCGTAATGTCATAATCTCCTCCGGCGTCCATTTCTTCTTCATCATCGTTTCCACGTCCTGAAGATGCAGACCTACTGCGAGAGGTTGCATAAGACTGCACATTGGACGGCTCAAAATCCATGTCACTGTATGTCGGGGCGCCGAACGCCTCCTCCGGACCATCCTCATCATCAATCTGAATATCGTCATTGGGGTCTGCGTTGGCATCCTCGTCTCCTTGATCGTGGCCTACGTCTTCCAGGTCATGTACAAAAGGCAGGTTGGAACGGGCCACAGGGCTTGATGGAACGTCGATTACTTCAGTGGTGTGCGCCTCTCCCAAAGGATCAGGGTAAGATGTCGAGGTAGCATCAAATCCCCAAGGTGGCTGCTGCGGTTCGACAATTCGGTCGACAAACACCGTGTGGTGTGGCGAACCATGTAACGGATCCCCAGCCGGGGGCAGTTGTCCTTGGGTCAAGGGAGGATACGAAGCCACCTGCGAGGCGAAATGCGAATCTGCTTCCTCTTCGATACGAGGGTAGTCATGGTGCGACTGCGTAGAGTGGGCGGTTGGTGGGTCAGGGAATGTGTCCATGCCCATGCTGTAGTGTTCTTGAGCAGCGAAGATCCCATTCGAAGAGTGCTCGATGTCCTGCACATATTGCTGGTTTGGTTGTGACTGCCCAAATTCGCCGGTGTTGAACGACGGCTGTACAGTAGCAAAGTCGGGCTGATGCAGGGGAGCAAATCGGTCACCCAATGCTGGGGATAACCCTGGCCCGGCTTGCAGGACGGACGAGGAGATTGAGATGTGAGCATCTGCTGGTACCTTACTAGGGGTGTCGAAAGCCCCAAGTCCGTGAATGCGAGGCTCGGCCGTCACATCGACATGGTGTGGAGGAGAAAACCCGAGCTCATCGGTTTGGCAACCCCCATCAACCATGGACACCTGTTTTGAAGGCGTTTCCGTCGGAGCATCGTCGGCCGGGTCGTCGCTTGTAACCTCGTCGGTTTCTTCAACATCCGGAGTCGGCGATCGGCTTGCATATCTCCATACGCTACTGAATCGACCAGCTTTGGGGGGTTTCCGTCCCTTGCCTTGGACATCGCCTCTGTCGTCGAACGGATCCGGGCCACCCTCGAAGAGTGATCCATATGAAATGCGCGCCCTCTTAAGGAAGGCTGGCGAGGCGAACTCTCCTGGCTCCAAGATGCCTTCTGCGGGACGTTTTGTTCGAAGTGTCGTCTCTGGGGTTGGATCACGGGGCGGCGTTATCGACCCTGCTGGGCCGTGATCTTGGGTGGCGGCTGCCAGAGCGGCTACGTCTAGCTTATCGGGCTGTTGTGCTTCGTCAAGGGGTAGATCGATATTGAGGAGCTTCGTGTCTTCATGGGCGACGCGCGCAACCTATTCATGTCAGCTACTTGATCGAGACGAGTTGTTGGCCAAGGGAGGTGCCAGCCTACTAGCGCCAACAGCTTGTGATTGAAACGAAGCTGCCATTCCAATGGAGTGCCGATAGCAGGCATACGAGTGTCCCGCGCGTCCCATGCAGCTCCATCGAGACTAAGAGTCACCTCATCACCGCCTCCCAGACCAAGGTCCGCGACAGCCTTCGCGCTGGCACCCGTGAATTCGATTCTAACAGTGCCACGATCACGGCGCAGTCGGAAGTCGGGTTCCGCAAGGATGAAGGCAATGACATCTCGCAAAGGGCTGTAGGGCCAAAAAACGGTGATTTCGCCGCGAATGACGCGCTTTGGGGCGTCCTGAAGCTCGGGATTCAATTCAGCTATTGCGGTGCCCACACCCGCGCGTAGCTGCGCAGTCAGGTCATTCTCCGCCATGTCGTCATGGGTCGTCGGTTGGCCGCAAGGCGTCAGCGTTTGCGGTGGAAGGATGGTCGGGGTCTATAAATCATCGGGTGTTGCGCGGGCGGCAAGGTTCGCCGCAGTTGAGGCCGGCAATGATGCTCAGAGATGGGTTCTGGTGTCTCGCGGTGGTGAAGCAATCGGGTGTATTTGTGGAACGAGAAGAAGCTCCGAGTTGGATTGATTTGGGTGGATACCTAGGTAGGTAGTGCCTGCCAAGTTCCTCTGTTGATCGTGGCTGCCGTTTGGCGTCTGTGCGCTTGCTTGTACGGAATGGCCAGATTCAAGGCGATGAACATGCAGGATGGTACATGTAGGTGCCCAAGGTGCCGTACAAGTAGGTACCATCAAGGCAGGGGGAGACACACCAGTTCGCTCGTCGAGGTCCCTAATCATGATCAGTATATCCAGGCAGTCACTGGAGCCAAACCCCTCCTGGCACCATGTTCTCCGCATTGCTCTCTGGCTTTTTTCTTTGGCTTGTTTTGCTCAGGTGCACGCTAGGTAGATACCCGTCGAGCGTATATATGCTGGTCTCTTACATGCCTGGGCCAACAAGGCTCAAGAGACGCTGACGTTACAGTACCTATGCACCTTAACGCCAATATTTTGCTGTAAATCATCGCTGATGCGACTGAAGAACATCATACGACGTTCAGAATATCATTTCCGCGATTCACGTCTTTCGCATCATCCGATAGTTGGCGGATGAGTCAGCACATACAGGGCGCCAATTGCTGTGTCCATGATTTGAGTCACGCCATCTAGGGACTTAACTCGATGAGTTGATGTCTTCACAGTATCATTGGGCCATTACCATCTCAAAGGCATTCAGTCGTGTCACCGCTCTCGGTCAACCAACGGGCTGTTTCCAAGACGCCTACACCGACACTTAGCAGTATACGCGGTCCTTGCTTGGTCTCTCGATGGGTTCGTACGCCCCTCTTCCATTCGATATCAAGAAGATCGCCATCATCGGTGCTGGACCATGTGGTCTTGCGGCAGCCAGATATTTGCTGGACCGTGATGTCTTTACATCAGTCGTCATTTTCGAACAACAGCACGAAGTTGGCGGTGTCTGGAACTACAGCCGAGACCCGCCCGGGTCGGTTCGTGTTCCTCAGACAGATCCATTTGGTCCTCCGGAGGCGCCTTTGCCACCACGGAAGACCGGTGATGCACCCATATTCCCCTCGCCAATGTACGAGACGCTTCATGCCAACATTCCAGGCTCTCTCATGAACTACAAGGATCGGCCATTTCCCCAGGACGCGTGGGCCTACCCTTCACGCCAGACCATCCAGAATTACATTGGGGGCTACGCAGAGGACCTTTGGTCTCACATCAAATTCAATGCCCAGGTCGAAAGTGTCGAGTTGACTCAAGACGCTGAGAGAGATAGGTGGATATTGAAAGCCAAGTCAACCGTCGACGATGAAACCATCAAGGAGACCTTCGATGCTGTAGTCGTGGCCAATGGTCACTACTCGGTGCCGTTTCTACCAGAAGTCAAGAACATCAAAACCTTTCACACGACTCATCCAGACATTATTATTCACTCAAAAAACTATCGAACCCCGGAGCCTTTCGCCGGCAAAAGAGTTGTTGTGGTGGGGAACGGGCCTTCCGGGCTCGACATTGCGCGACAGATTACTGGTGTGGGTGCCCAGACGCTCCTATCAGTCCGCAGTCCGACCCCGACGGACAAACTTGAGCACGTCGGGGCGACCGAGATTGCCGAGATTGTGGAGTTTCTTCCTGATCAACAGGCCATCCGGCTCAAGGACGGTTCGGTGCAGTCCGGCATAGATGCCATTATATACTGCACGGGCTTTCTCTTCAGTTATCCCTTCCTCCCTGGGCTCGCGCCCAACCTCCTAACCAAGGGCAAGGGTGTGTTTGGGCTGTACAGGCACCTGTTCCTGATACAGCACCCGACGCTGGTCTTTCCAGGGTTGCTGATGAAGGCGGTTCCATTCCCGCTGTCGGAGGCCCAGGCGGCTGTCGTGGCGGCCGTGTGGTCCAACTCGTTGCTCCTGCCGCCCGTTGAAGAACAAGAGAAGTGGGAGCGGGGTCTGCGCGAAGAGAGGGGCGAGAACCTACACACGTTTCCGACACATGGCGGAGATGGACTGTATATTAATGAGCTGCATGACTGGGCACTGAAGGGGTCTCCCGCCGGGCTTGAGGCACCATTCTGGAACGACGAGAGCAGGTGGGAGCGCAGCATCTTTGCAGATGCCAAAGTACGGTTTGAGCAACGCGGCACGCAGGCCAAGACGTTGAAAGAGCTGGGATTCGTGTACCCCGGAGAAGGGCACTGGTAGGGTCCGTCATCCCATGTCTACGTAACATGGGATGAACCTAGGCTTGCCCGCGGCAGACCTGTCCTATCGGGTGGATCGAGCAAGCTTCATGACCAGGAAGCTGGATGAATCGCAGGCCCAGGCCATAGTGTCTGGAGCAATTGTTGCCGCGGTGAGATGTGAGAAAAGGACTGTCGGGCGCAGCATCCTGAGAACGTTTCAAACAGGATCCATGGGGTTTTGTGCATAATGCATCACAATGCAAACCAACTCTACTGTATGTATACTCCACCTATTATGGATCACCTCATCAGCCCAGCGCTGGCAGTGGAGCAGAGAGGCTCACAAAGACCCCTGTCGCATAATCACCCATGGCTGTATTGAGATGCAAGATCCAATGGTGCTGGCGGTACGCGAATCAATCTCAGCAAATCTCATTAAAACCTTTCTGTCTAGGACAGCCTGACCCGGTGACCGATTGCTGGCGACCCAGCCAGAGTCACCAAACAACTCCTTTCCTCTGATCTCGCACCTCGACAACCTCCCGTTTGCTTTGGGCGTTTGTTCGTTCCTTCTCTTCTCTGCGTCAGTGTCTTGCAGCAGCGGCGATCCCGGGGGTCGTGCTTGCTTACCTTACGTGACTCTGGGCTGCGTGAGCCCTGTTTTCATCCTGGTACCCGCATTGCATCGTGGGGAAGCTGCCACCTGCGCGCGTTGTCACTGCCTGACGAACCCTTGCGACATTCCTCTCGGCCACTCCTCCCGCTCCTTCAGCCCACCAACTCGAACACAGGCCGCCGACATCATCAATCTAGAGCACCGTCGTTGCCTCGCGTCCACAAAAGGTGCGACCGGTTTCACAGACCACGTTCTTCTGTGCCTACCTGTCGCCTGCCGTCTCGTCACCTAGCGGCGGCGCCTGTCGTTGCACAAAGAAACGAGAGGGCCAGTTGCTTCAGGAAAGGCGAGCCAGAACGATCCTCTCCCCATCCGATCAACCTTCCTACCTACCTTGGTACCTAGCCGAAAGCATCCAGCACCAATACCCACGCCTACGCTCATTACGAGAACTCTCGAAACCTGTCCTACCACTTCCACCCGAAACATCTTCCTACAAGTCAACCTCATCTTCGACAACGATGGCCTTCATCAGCCTGCCCGCAGCCTCTCCGCCGATATAACAATCCGCGAGCCATGCCTGACGCCACCGAACGCGTCACATCGGACGGACGACTAACCTGACCAACCAACAGCAGCAGCAACAAACACCGCCAAACCGCCATCATGTCCGATCGCAATCCTCTCAAAACCCCCGTTCCGCCGGGGCCTGGCTACAAACTCAATCCCGTCACCAGGCGCCAGTATCGCTTGTCCGACGAGCACTCCCCCACCCGCCAGCGCCTACACGACGACCTGCTCAGCCAACTGACGCCCTTGTCTGCCGTCGATGTCCTGGATCATCCTACACCCTCACTGAAAGCATGTCTCGATGCCGCTACAGCTAACGAGCGAGATTTTGTTATGCGGACGGCTGTAGCGAGCCAGAAGATCTACGAGTGGCTCGATGAGCTCCTCGAATGGCCATGGCCTGCCGATGGCGGCTCAGCTGGCTTTGAGGCGCCATCTACAACCAGAAAGAAACTCTTCTCGAAGGAGACGATTCGCTACGACAACGGAGACAGCAGCACCTTCCTCGGCAGCCTTGCCGCCGATGATGTTGCAGCTTACGACGACCGTGTCGAACAAATTTCCCACGAGCTGGACGACCTAGAGCTCGACGATATTAAGACGCACGTCTTGCACAACCACATTCTCCCGCTTTCCAGACCTGGGACCCCTTTGTCCGACACTGGCCGTCCAATTGTATCCATGGCAACTTTCAACCGGCTAGACGACCTGGCTGCTGTGATCACAGCAATCATCATGCAAGCCCTTCCAAACATTTCCAAGCTCAGCCGTATGCTGAATACTTGGCGAATCCGGATCACCGTGTTGCGTGGCATTCCATCACTTCTCGCCGCCATAACCGATGCAGAAGTTGCGCTGGAGTCGGGATGGAGTGTCATTTCAGCACCACCAAGAAACCCCGTGTCAGCACTCGGCAGCCCTGGTCAGGAACCTGGATTGACCAATGCTGAGTTTGACATAATGAAGGTAGTTCTGCAGAAGAAGATCACGAGGCCTGGCCGTGATCTTGATGCTATGCTAGATAGCCTCGAGGGTCAGACCGACACAGTCCCCGAGAGCTGGATCGATCGCATGGAAGCTACAGAGCATGGGTATGCTGCTTGGTATGTGGCATGTGAGCGAAAGATCCGAGAGGCAGAATGGGCCAAGACGGCACGGGCCAAAGCTGCCATCAACCCTCCACAAAAGCCAATACAGAAGGCCACGACTGGGACGACTGGAGATGGTTCTCCCGTTAAGCTGCGGGATTCGACATCATCAAGCAGTACACGCGCGGCACCTGTACCCATCACCATTCAGCTTCCGATTGACGATGTCGTCGACGATGTCTCATCTGACAAGGATACCGAAACTCAAACAAGAGACATGACGCCTCCGAAGACGTCTGTTAAGTCGCAGCGACTCTCGGCAACACTCGAACCCAAGGCTCAAGACACGAACTCGTCTTCGGCGCACCCCTCCCGATCTCCTCTCCGGACACCCGTCTCATTTCACAAGCGGCATGAAAGCTATGACGGCTCGGCAGATGATGTTGATCCGGTGAAATATGACGTGCCATCCCCTTCGACATTCAATGGCGCACAGACTGCAATTCTGAGCCAAGTCTTAGGCTCAACGTCCCATAATCTGGTCTCCCAACAAACACATGAAGTGTCAAACGCTCAAATCCTTGAGGATACTGATCAGTCATCTCCCATTGATGGTCCGGGAGACAGCCCAGGTTTCTCTGCCGGCTCAGATGACGAGCCAGAGTTACCGCCACTCGTTCACGGGGGCCGACGCTCCAGCTCTGCTTCTTGCTCTTCGACTGTGATTCATGGTTTTGCCAGCCAGGATGGCTTTAGCGACATGCCTGAAATTTCCGCCTCGCCACCGCTGCCTCGCAAGCCTTTTGTTGAGCAAGGCAGTGACTTGCTTTCGCCGCTTGCATCCGATGGACCAGACACATCAACATTCTCGGAATTCGCCCGACGAAGAGACACGTCCGACTCTCGTAGCCCGTCCAGCTCACCCCCACGACCCAGTTATAGGGACGACAGTGCCAGCCCGATGGTGGGGCCCATCCGTGATGACGACGACCTGCAATCCTCTTCGTTCATCGAACCATCATCTTCCTTCATCGAGGAAGATCTTGATGAGACAGTCTCATATGTTGGAAGCCCTCACAGAAATTCGATCGGAGGTGACGAGCACCTTAGACAGCAAATCAGCGACATTTTGCAGTCTATCCCCGCCAACATCAAGCTTGGATCTACTCCTAGCAGGGTCAACCTTAACCCGCCCCCACCGGACCTACCTTTTCAAAAGGCCAAAAAGCCTCTTCGGGATCCCATTCGACGAAGCGCGTCTAACCTGTCATCTCGAGCATCCACGCGGGCCTCCACCCGTGCATCCACTCCAGCCTTTCTGCTGGCGCCGGCGTATGGCAAAAATCCCCGCCCTAAGCGTCAACAAGGTACCGACACCAAAGTGTACCATTTGTCACGATCCACTGGCGAAGCCCCAATCAAGCTACTCATAAGATGTGTTGGCGAGAACGGCGAGCGTGTGATGGTTCGTGTTGGTGGCGGTTGGGCCGATCTGGGCGAGTACCTCAAAGAGTACGCTACTCACCACGGACGAAGATCAGGGAATCCCGACGCCAATACGAAGATTGAGGTACGCGACCTGCCACGTGTAGCGACTTCTGCCAGAGCATCAACGGCCAGTCCACCGGGTCGGCCAGTGTCTGCTATGGAGTACTCTCCCGTGGCGCCATTGAACGTTCGCAAGACTAGGAGGTCTTTCGGCGCCAGCAGCCTTGGTGAGAGGTCTGCTGCTATGGCATCGTCTGCCAGACCACCCGCCCTGCCCAAATTGCCGCAGACACCTGCTCCGCCGCAAGAGGCTTCAGGGCAGGATGGTCCATCGTCAGATGGATCCTCAAGGTCAAGATCCAGCTCCCATCTCAGCTGGGCAGAGGAGGACACGTCGCTGGGCCTTGCGGGCCCCACAGGTCGCAAGGTTGAAATGAGCGAGGAGAGCAAAGCTTGGGTGGAGAGCGTCAAGCAGAAAGTGCGCATCGCCAGCGGAGAGCGCAAACTAGTAGCAGAGGATGGACGTTTTGGAGATATGGGTCGCGTTGGCGGCACGAAACGACTGTTCCGGAAAGGATGAACTGGTGACGGTAAGCAAGGGGCAGAGCGGACATTCATTTTCCAGGGCAAAGGAGCGGACCAGGGTGGCACGTTGGGGAGCACGGCGTGCGTTGCATATCGAAGCGAGCCGGCGTTTGGAAGCCGATACGACACCACACAAAACTCGACGAAACACAGCACCTACTGCACTTTCACTGGCTGACACGCCATCGACACATACACACCTACCACGCACATTCATTCAACCTTCATTACCTTCGTTCATACGATCATTCTACTACCATATCTCTTTTACTTTTGTATTTTCCCCGGCGCTGCATGTCTTTTTGGCGGCGGTTCATTGTTGATAGCACAGAGCATACAATACCCATTTTCGTTTTCCTGTCAAAGCAGATATCCGAGGTCATGACAGAGCAAGTTAGATAAGCTTCGGGCTAGAGAACCAGCATGTCATACTTTCGAGCTTCCAATACCACCATGTGCATGGGTCACTGTTAGCATGGCTAGGGATTCTGCGACGTGAATGACATACTATGCACTGCAATAGTACGGGGTAAAGTTCGCCAGCGTTCGTTCTATCTCTCATGATCCTTTCCATGGCATGGCCTACGAGTTGGTACCAGCAGAAATTGCAGCCTTTATCTCAGCATAGACCCGCTTGGCCTCTCCCGCCAGCACCTCCTTGGCATACTCCTCGAGGGTGCGCGGCTTGAAGTCGGGGTACAGCTCGCGCGCGTCGAGGTAGCCGAGGTACGCCGCTGTCTCGGGCGTGTTGTCGCCGCGCACGCCCCAGCTGTTCCAGTACTCGAACTGGGCGCGCTTAAACCACTCGGGGCTGCCGAGGGCGAGGTCAGCCGCCGACAGCGCCTCGCACGTCGTCGCGACGGTCTGCGCGTCAACATACGCCCGCTCAATCGTCTCGCCGCTCAGCCGCTCGAGAAGGTCATAGGCCTCGGTCTGCGAGGTCAGCGCGCCAAAGCCAAAGACGGAGCGGTTGAGGGTGCGCGGGTCGAGGACGGCGCGCGCGAGCAGGCGGCCAATGTCGTCGAGGTGGGTCTGGGCGAAGCGCGTGGCGCCGTCGCCGACGATGAGGTCCGGCGCGCCGATGTGGGCGTAGGCGTTGCGCTTCGAGGGGAGCAGCGGCAGCGTCATCTGGTACCACCAGCCAATGTCGAGGACGGTGTAGGGCAGGCGCAGCTTCTTGATGTGGTTCAGGTTGTCCTCCTTGATGTCGCGCAGCGAGAGGACGCCCTTGGGCGGGGCGACCGGGGCGAAGAAGCACGGGACGAAGCGGGCTACGCCGGCGGCCTTGGCGGCTGTGGCGAGGGCGGGCTCCGAGGCGAGGCCGGCAAAGTTGACGGCCGAGACGAGCGTTTCGAGGCCCGTGAGGGCCGTCGCGAGGGCGGTCGGGTCGCTGGTCAGGTCCAGGGGCTGGACGTTAATGCCGCGGGTGCGGAGGGCCTCATTGGCCGAGCTCTGGAGAGAGGATGGCCGAGTGAAGGCCGTGATTTCCTGGTGGATCTCGTTAAGGTTTGCCGAGCGACTTTGGTTGATGCATGCTTACGAAAGGGTGAGGGTGCTCGAGGAGGCCATTGACGATGGAGGCTCCCGTCTCGCCCGTAGCGCCAAGGACTCCGATCTTCATGGTAGGTATGACTTGACGCCGGCGAAACTAAATGCGAACAAAGTCGTGATCCGCAATCCGGACGTTCGGCGACAGAAAGGTGCCGAACGACAGCACTTTATATGGGTTTGCCTTGCTACATGCTTGGCGTCCGTCACGGCGACGATTCAACGTCCCCTGACATGACGAAACTCCGCCAGGTCCGCTCTGACGGGCCCCACTTCTCCGCGACGGAGACCCCTTAGACTCCGATCAAGACTCCGACGTCTGGCATGAAACTGCCATGCGCATGCTTGTCAATCTTCTATCTCGCATTGTCATCATCTCGACAACCCGAATAGTCTTCTAGTCTGGCTAGTCTGGCAGCCTGAGAGCTATAGGTCAAGTCCGCCTTCGGCATGACAAGCCCGAGTGTCTTATAATCATTATCAAGCTTACAATAGCAGAGACATGATTTCATGACTGCTCCGAATGAGCTTCCGATGCTTCACGTAGGGATCATGTGTTCTCCACGCTCAAGAGTCGAGATCGTAAGGAGTCAGTACCTTTGTAACGAGTGCCTGTTTTAAGCCCTTTTGGAGTCCAGCGACACTCATCGATACAAGTGCTGTATTGCGGTCCCAGCAAGCACAGCATCCCTGGAAAGTCGATCTGCAAGATGAGAGAAACATTACATTTGATGTTGGCCGGATGTGGACATGTCACACACAGACAATTCGGGATGAGGAATTTGCAAGCGCATGCCTTCCGAAATCCCAGCATCCAACCCCCAAGAACTACTTTTGAATGCCTCGTAACATCGAGCCTCGCGTCAACCGACAAATTATTCACTCCATCGCTTCAAACATTAACAATGATAATTCAATTCATAAATACTTGTATTAGCTCGTTGAGCAATCTATCCCATCAGGTACCTTCGTAAAGATAAGGTCCGTCTAACCAAAAGTAAAGCCATCTCAACTCTTGAGATCCGAAAGGTTGGTATCTTATATATGCCTTCCCAATCCGGAGGATCAGGCGCTCGGCATCGCGTGGCGTCGCGCGCTCTGCCAGAAACCATGTTTCTGTGGCGCTAATGTTTTCCTTCTCTTCATCGACGAACAATCATGTGTAGCGCCAGTCAAATTCAATCGCTCACACCCAGGAGACATTGCTTCTCCCCTCACTCCATTTTTTGCTCCTGCCAGTGCATCTAGAAGCGGGCCTTCTCGGTACCGAACGACATGGGGTCATACATGCGGTCCTTGATGTAGGCAGTCAGGGCAACATCGCCCCACTCTTCCCACTCGATCCACTGGGATTCAGGGAGCTTTGAGACGCCTTCCCTGCGGGCAGCCTTCATAACTTCACGGGCAACGACCAAGCTAGCGTCACGGACACGCTCGATGTTGGGGTAGATGAGGCCCTTGTAGATTTCCTCGGCGTTGAGAGACTCGGCGAGCGCAGCAGCCGAGGTGTAGACCATCTCATCGGTGACGTGGGTGGCCTTGGAGAGGATGGCACCGAGGCCGAGGCCAGGGAAGACGTAAACGTTGTTACCCTGGTTGGGGTGGTAGGTGATGGCCTGGCCGTCGGGGGTCTTCATGGTGAAGGGGGAGAAGGGGGAGCCGGAGGCGAAGATGACACTGCCGTCGGTCCACTGCACAGCCTGCTCAAAGGTACACTCAGCCTTGGTGAGAGGGTTGCTCAGAGGGAACAGGATGGGACGGCGGCCAAGGCCGCCAGAGTCGACAGAAGCCTTGAGGGCACGGACAGTGGACTCGGTGAAGACGCCGAAGGTGGCCGTGAGACCAACCAGGGCCGACGGCTTGACGTACTCAATGACCTCCTCGAGAGTACGGAACTGGTGGCCGTTGTTATCGGTACGAGCGAAGTACTTCTTGTGCTCGGCCAGGTTGTCACCACGGTCACGGGTGACAAGACCCTTGGTGTCGACAAGCCAGAACTTCTCACGCGCCTGCTGCTCGCTGAGGCCGCGACGAGTGTAGTACTCGACGAGCTGCTTGGCAACACCAACACCAGCGGAGCCGGCTCCCATGAAGACCAGCCTCTGCTCCTCAAGAGGAACGCCAGACAGGTTCACAGCACCAATGTAGCCACCGAGAACGACAGCTCCAGTGCCTTGGATGTCGTCGTTGAAGCAGCGGTACTTGTTGCGGTAGCGGTCGAGGTAGTTGAAAGCCTTCTCGGTGTCGAAGTCCTCAAACTGCACAACCATGTTGGGGAACACCTCAGTAGCAGCCTCCATGAACTCGTCCATGAACTCCTGCTGCGTCTCCACAGAGACGCGCTTGTGACGGAGACCGAGGTAGAAGGGGTCCTTGAGGTTGTCCTCGTTGTTGGTGCCCGTGTCGAGAACGATGGGCAGAGTCTTGGAGGGGTCGACACCAGCGGCACCCGTGTACAGGGCTAGCTTGCCAATCTGTGAACCGTTAGCTGGGGGATTGAGTGACCATGGGATGCAAGAGTTGGCCTACCGAAATGCCAACGCCGTTAACGCCAAGATCACCCAGACCGAGAATGCGAGAGCCGTCGGTAACGACACAAATCTCAGGGTCGGGGTAGGGCCAATTCCTCAGCATGGTGCGGATAGACTTGCGCTGCTTGATGGAGATGTAGAGGGCCTCGGGGCGTGTGTAGAGGGAGGAGTACTGGAGGCAGACGTCGCCAATGGTGGGGGTATAGACAAGAGGCATGAGCTCGCGGATGTTGTCGATGATGACGCGGTAGAAGAGGTCCATGTTCTGGTCCTTGAGGGTCGAGAGGTACATGTACTTGTCGATGGGCGTTGAGCGTGTGTTGATCATCTTCATGGCGCGGGCGCTCTGCGTCTGGATGCTCTCCATGACGTGGGGGATGAGGCCGGTGAGGTTCTTGGAGACGCGGTCATCGGGGGTGAAGGAGAGGCCTGGACATGTTAGTCAGGGCGAAGAGGGAAGGAAAGGGAAGGCGAAGAAGGAGAGAAGGAGAGAAGGAGAAGGACGAGACTGACCCTTGTTCCACGCAGGCTCGCGCAGGACCTGGTAGCCGCAGGCCGACGACTTGGGGACATATTCGGTGCTGCGGTACTGTTGGACCTCGCCGTAGTGGTTCTGGGCATAGCCCCGGTGCTGGTCGAGGGCGGCGGCCTTCATCTTTTCTTCAATGGCGTTGATGTCGACAGAGTTCATGGGGTTGAAGTCTGTCATTCTCCGACAGGATATGGAGGTACGCTTTGTAGACATAGACGTGCGGGAAGAGCGAGCGGAGATGCGGACGTTGAGGAGGCGGGGGAGGATGACCGAGGCGTGGATATATCAGAGCTAGCAGCACTGTAGGGATACGACGCCATTGAAGAGGTGGAGGTGTGATCGGGATTAGGGGTGGAGGAAGACGGGACGGAGAGGATGGTGGTGGTGTTGGTGTTAGTGTTGGGACGGGCGCCGGGACCAGCAGCGGCAGCTCGCAGAGAGGGAGGAGAGGACGAGGTGAATGCTCGAGAATGAGACGGAGACTGATGGGAAAGAAAGGAAGAGCTCGTGACAATGCACCTGCCTCGAGAGGTGAGGAAAAGGCGGCTTTTGACGTGTCCGACGGAGGCGATTGGGGTAGGGACACCCAAGGCCCGCCAAGTACCGAGACTTTGGCGCATCCCGGCGAGGGGATCGTGAGTTCGAGGCTGGGCCTTGTTGCAAAGCCTGCGCAGCGAGTTTCACGAGGGGTAGTAAGTACCGGTACTTTGGGGCAGGTGGGAAAGAAAGAGCAGGGGTGTGGGGGGGGGATGGCAGCCGCGGAAGAAGGGGGGGGAAGAAAGATGGGATGGATGGAGGGTGTGTGATGTGCCTCCGGGATGAGATGTCGATGAGGCACTGCTGAGGACGACAGGAGCGTCCGGGAGGAACCAGGATTTGGAGAAGGGGTGGCGGCGGAAGCAACTGTAGAAGGAGCAACCTTGAGCAATGGAACGTGAAGGAGCAGCGAGAAGACAATCCGGAAGGAGGGGCCGGGGAACGAGATGAGCTCTCTGGTCTGCCCTTGCCTGCGCGTTCAGTCCAGTTCCCGGTGTTAGTTGGTCTGTGCCAATGGCTCAACCTCGTCCGGCGTCTTGTTTTTCGCCTTGGCTGCTGCCCGATGTGATATTGGGAGAATGGAGAATGTCGGAACGAAAACAAGAGTCGGCTGCAGGAGACCCTGTCGTGTGCTCTCTTCCCTTTTTGCTGTCTGTGTTTCTTTCTCGAACCCAAACCTGCGTCGACCGGCCCTCCGTGGGACGGCACCGAAATTTGAACCTGGCACTGGACGGGGCCGATGACTCAGGTCCAGCAGCGCTCGCTGGCTCTGGATCGCTGCGGCTGGGTCTCTGGGTTGGGTCTTTGGGCTTTGGGCTTGGGAGGGGAGGGGGGCGCCAGCTGCAGGGCCATGGATCGCACTCGGGATCCAATGACAGGGGGCCAACACGTCTCTAGCGCATCCGCCTTCCGCAGTCTGGGGAAGAAGCAACCCCAAAAGTGCCCCCCTAACCCCCTAACGAGACCCTCACAGCGTTCGCGACCCTCACCGACGGTGAGCTCCCCGATCTTATTGGACTGCATGACTTGGTTGGCCCAGCATGGTCAAGTATTTACCCCCCTCCAGCTGGACGGTTGCCTCTCCACCGGGTGAACACTCTTACGTACATGGTACATCAGGCCCTCGCGACGTCCGGCGCAGGCATGCCTGGGTGTGCTGTGCGTTGCCTGCTCTACGTGTTTGCTTGCTTGGTTCGCAGATTGGTTTTCCAACTTTTTTTGTTGGGACATGCCTCCGGGCGTGGGAGCGACGGACCGGTGAGGAGGGTTGGGTTGGGTGTCCGTGACGGCGCTCGTCCAATGTCCAATGTCCAATGTCCAATGCTGTCGTCAGCCTGTCAGTGCTGAGGCCACCCCCTGCGTTTACTCTTGCTTTGCAGCAGCGTACACATTAATTAGTAGGGTCCGAGACCTTGAGAGCTGACAGGCTGCACGGGACCGGGCTGCCTCTGGCGGTCGTACCGGCCACCGATGGAGGAGGGCACACCGACAAGGCGCATGCCTCGATCCCTGTCGATGGTTTATTCTTCTTTCGCTTTCGTTCGTTCGCCTACTAGCTCCGTCCATGTCGCTTGAGACTTCGCCGCTGTCCGATGGCACCGGACCGGCGTCGAAGTGGTCTTCCCCAAATGCGTCGTGCTCAAGATGGAGTAACCCAGGAGAAATCCTCCGCGTCAGCACCGGCGCTTCACGGAGGAGTCTAGACTGACAAGGTACCCGCTCGAAGAATTCCGAATGGGGTCAAAGGGAGTACTACTGCCCTTCATTCTGTCCGTCTTGTCTGGTCATCCCTGAAGATCTCGAAGTGAAGTCGGAACGCTCAAACGCAAGGCTTTTTGGAGACGAAAATTTCTTGGGGAAAGGGGTGGGCTCGCAGCAGGGGGTGGGCAGGATTCGGGGAGGGTCGATTGCATGAGACGCCCCTGTCTCGCGTGTTCGACCTTGAACAAAGGGGCCAATAACACTGCTGTCAAGTCATCCTGAACAGCTGGATCTGGCTAGTTAATGCTCGTCTGGCGGGCCCGGCATGACGGAGTCTACCCCCCCTGCTCGTGCTGTTACTGCCAGGCCTCTTGGCTTCAACATGGCAGGCTAGCGTCTTTAGGACTAGTCCTCTCTCTTCCACTGGGGCGGTCCAGCCCGCTTTCTCAGAGTTTTTTTTTTTTTGTGTTTGTTTGCCCGCCCTGGCTGCATGATCCCCAAAAAGATGTGGCCCCCCATTGGAGGCTTCTGACAAAGCCTCCCTATGAAAATGGTGACAAACGGACGCTTCCCTACCAAGAGACCTGTGAAATTGGGGAATCACGACATGGCCCATGGGCAGTCTTTGCGAAGCAAGACGAAAACACTCCTCCCGACTTGTTCCGATATGGAGGGCAGGGGCACGGCTAGCGGCAACCACCATCGGCAGTCGTCCGTGCTGCTCTTTCGCCCTGCAGCAGACGAACAATCATGACGGTTTATGACTGGTACTGACCGGACCAGGAGCTGGGCTGGTACCTGGAACTGGAACTGGAACCGCCAAAACATTGCGGCTGTCAACCAGTCCGTCAGGCTTGTCCGTCAACACGGACTCGATGGTCGATTCGATCACAAAGTCAAGAAACCCAGCGACCGCTGAAACACAGACTCAGATTTGTATGATCACCATGCTGGCCATGTCTCTCCACCGCCCTCAAACATGTGGTGAGAGGGGGGGTAAGAAGAGACGGCAGACTAGTTGACTGGAAATCACGGCAACGAGGGTTTCTGCCTCTGCCCTGTAACAATGGCGACGATCGGCCAAGGCTCGTCCCGTCTCGCCCAACCTTGGGATGTCATGCCGCGGACGGGCGAGCTGCCAGGGCTGCACGTTGCGAGTCGGACCTTTCAGGCCAGAGTCAGGAGGATGAAACTTTTCGTCCGTCCCATGTCCATCCCCATCTCATCGTGTCTGTACTTTGACTAGCCGTGGAGCGCGCCAGGTTCAGTGAGGAACTACCGGACCTTCGATGTCTGATGCGCCCCAGCGGAGTCGATCCGCTGTTTGTCTGGATCCGTACGTTGCGCTGCGTGTACCATGTACGCGAGCATCCAAGTGAGCTACGTGTGCGAGGATTCGGATGATACATCGTCGATGGATCACGATGGCCCCCTTGACTTGCTCTCACTTGCTCACCAGATGAACGATGATGGGGCATATGGGGCACATGCCCGTCAGCCTTGTCTGGGTCGGGGGACTTCGGACGCACGAGTTGCTGCTGCTACACCAGTCTCCAGTCTCCAGTCTCCTACCCAGCCAAGGCAGCTCACGCGAGCTCCTCCGGCGGCAAGACATCACCCCCCTTTTTCTGTGCCATTGACCCCAATTGTGTGCATCCGTGAGTGCTACCCCAACTTGACGAGTGAACTGAGGGACAAAACACACACACACACACACACCGCTTGATATCAACACTTTGCTCACCTCCCGATGAATCAATCAATCCTCCTCCACGCAACAACACTACTGCACAGCTCGGCCCCTCATCACTTTGGCCGATGCGCACCTCATTCCATTGGCCTACCTGCTGGATCACAAGCGCGTCATGTCAATTTCTCCTCCGACATGTCCCGACATTTCCCTTGCTCCCCACCGTAGAGTTTCCACCCCGCATGACGATGGGCGAGAGAGGTGTACCGTATGTACATGGTAGACGGCCAGAAAGCGCTGATGCACCAGCGGGTCGCGGAGAGTGGAGGCGGGCGAGCTGAGGCTGTTGAGATGGGGAGGGGGGCCTTTTCCTCAACTGGCCATGCTCCTCAGCACGCAGTTGGCCAGCTTGTTGGTGGTCGTGCTCTGTCCTCCTCTCCCCCGCACAATGGAGGCTTGACGCTAACACCACAACCGCAAGGTGAGCTCTTCCTCCCCCAAGGAAGGTTCCAACCCCGCATATCGGAGCTCCTGCGTGTAAAGCGTGCCAAGAGCAGCTTCGATCGGAGGAGAAGGAGGGGTCTTGCCTCGGTTGGCTTGGGGCGCCCTTTCCCTTTCCCTTCCCTTGGATCGCGAGGCATCTTGGACGTCCGATGAGCCTCCGATGACTCTTATCACGGCCCATCATCTCTGGCAGCTGAAGATGGTGCAAACGTTACTTCGCATCTTGGGCTGGCTGGGCGTCGAGGCGTCACCTTCTGGGCACTCTATGCTGTGCACCATGCCTACCAGCACACATTTGTCAACCGAGGTTGCGTCGATGACTCCTTCTCTCCTCTGTCTGCCTTGCAGCATGATGCCATGCACGATGATGGCTCGCACTTCGCATGCGCGCTGACTGCCGAGGCGTCACTGATCCAAGCCCTTCTGAGAGTCGAGTAGCCGACTACAGCGCCGCCTCGGCCGTCGTCGACGCTCCTTGCACATGTCTCCTTTGGGATTGCCGAACACCAGTCTGAGGCTGGGAGCTCACGACACAGCCGATGAGGCAGTTTTGCGTTTGGCTTTCGTTCCCCTCCGTGATACGGCGGTGGCGGGCTTGGCGGGCTCTTGTTCTGTTGGTGTGTGTGTATCACGTTTCGCGCAGGTGAAGCATCGGCGCCGGGATCAGCATCTGATCGCCGAAAGTATGCTTAAGATGCCCGTCGTATGAACCGCGGTATCAGATCTGGGAGACCCCACATGCCGGGCGGGCGAGGGGCTGTTTGATCGGACCAACTGTCTGACACACCCGGGGGGCCTCGGGCCAGCTCTGACAGAATGTCGGCGATCACAAGGAATGTGACTCTGAGGTTGCGATTCCGCGAAAATCAAGATGGGGAAGGTGATCAGTGGGTTCCCCCAGAACTGCTTGAGAGTCTGGCTCGCAGGCTGTGCTACTCTCTTCGCCTTCTTCTCGGCCTGCGACTGAACTTCCGATGTGCTCACTATATGGGCGAACGGTAGGCCAGTATCACCCCCATCTTCGTAGATCATCACGCCATGTTCATTTCTATGCATGCCACCTTTACTGTTGTTGTTCTATGGGTGTCAAGACATGAACCTCGTTGACTCCTAGATTTCCCATATCCCAAACCTCTCTACAGCTTCCCCTTCCCAGCGACCAGCTCCTCGACCTTGGCAAATTGGTAATAGTAGTCTAGGCTCTTCGGGTTCAGCAGCGTCCCGCTCGGCTTGATTGTGTGTCCCGACACGATCTGCTTCACTGGCAGTTCGACCTTTTTCAGGTTCACAGTCGTCTGTCTTTTGTCAGAATCAATTCCATCATCCTCACAACACAGCACCAGAACTTGGCACGTGGCACTGGGCTTGAAACCAAAAAGAAAAAAATAACAGTACTCACTGGAATCTCAGGCGTCTCAAATATCCAACGTGGGACATGCCTCTTCGTCAGTTCCTTCCCGATAGCTGCCTTGACCCCCTCCACCAGCTCACGGTCAAACTTGTGTCCGGGCCGCATCATGAGGAAGAGCATGACACTCTCATCGGTGTCGTTTGGCCGGCGCTGCCCTACGCACAGGCTGTCCGCCACGCGATCGGCGAACCGTCTCTCGATGACGGCGTAAATCTCGGCGCTGCCGAAACGCACACCCGAGGGGTTGAGCACGCCGTCGGCCCTGCCAAGGAACGACACGTTGCCCGTCTCGGGATGGATGGCGCAGAAATCTCCATGCGCCCACACGTGGTCGAAGCGGCCAAAGTACGCGGCGTGGTATCGCGAGCCCGCCGGTGCCGTGTTCAGGGTCGAGGCGCCAGGGCGTGCGGCGGCGTCGCCCCAGAGATAGATGGGGATGTTCGGGAACGCCGCCGTGGCGACGAGCTCACCGGGTTCGCCGACGGGGAGTTCCTTCCCGGGTCCGTCGGGCAGCTGGGCGTCGTAGATGGCAATCGGGACGCCGAGGGAGGGGCCCTGTGTTCCGCCTCGGTACACTGGCGTCAGGGGGTTCATGAGGCCGAAACAGCCAGCAATGTCTGTGCCGCCAGAAATGTTGGCCAGATGCACGTTTTTCGGGAACCCCTCGTCGTAGAACCAGTCGAATAGCTGATCTGACAAGACCATGCCCGTCGTAGAGACTATGCGGAGCGACGACAGGTCGGCAACGTCCTTTGGGCGGATGCCGGCCTTGGCCATCTCGAAGAGCCAGCGCGGGCTCGTGCCGAGCTTGGTGATCTTCTGCTCGGCCATGATGCGGATGAAGGTGGTGAGGTCGGGCTGGAAGGGCGATCCGTCGTAGAGAATGGCGCGGGCTCCAAAGAGGAGCTGCGCCACGTTGGCGAGGTACATGATCCAGCCGGTCGTGGTGTACTGCAGACCTACGGAGTCGGGTGTCACGTCCTCGTGCAGGCGGGATTCCTTGGCAACGCTGAGCAGCAGCGTTCCGACGGCGTGGACGATGGCCTTGGGCGTGCCCGTTGTGCCAGAGGAGTAATAAATGAGAAAGGGGTCTTGAAAGCCGACGTGCACGAAAGGGGGCGGTGTGGCCGACGCGGACTCGAGGAAATGGTCGAGCGTTTCGGCCTTGGGGATAGAGGAAATAGCAAGGGGTTTCTCAAAGCGGCGGATGGAGACGATGCCCTCGAATCGATCGCACTCCTTCATGCCCTGGGCGACACCGGCCATCTTGTCTCGCAAATCAACCGTCTTGCCATTGTAGAGGGCGGCGTCGTCCTTTTATGAACTTGGGGTTCACCTGGACCGTCCTCTGCAGAATGCC